AAATGTTATTTACCGTCGAAATCAAACCTCCATTCTCGATTTCCTATTGCGACCTAGAAGGATAAAGATGGCTTGGAAAAGTTGAGACGGTCGAGATTCCTGAAATTCGCGGCCAGCAATTTTCCAATTAGGCCGGTCGCGATTACCGCCTCCATTATGACTCATAATTAAAGGAAGATTAATGGGAGCGAGGCCACAATCGGATTCCCGACAACGAGAACCTGCGTGATTAAATTTTCCACCGGGTAAAAGTTTATTTTTTAAACAGATTATTTCATACCGGGAATCGTCCGTCAAATATTATTTAACTCTGTGATTTTTGATGTGGGTGAATCGACGATCTTCGGCACGAATATCATCGAATCGATAGCTTCTAAACAATTCTATCATCGTCGCCTGTCACTCGACCCCATATACAATATGATACCATTTCGAGCTTGAAAAAAGCTCGGTGATGAATGAAAACGCACCGTCAGAAGCGTGTCAAACAAATCGGGTCCGAAATCATGGCCGCGGTGCGTGAAATGCGAGCATGCGAGAAAAAAGAGAAAAAGGCCAGGATACCGTAATACATCATATTTCACCGGAACATGTATTTGCGTTTCCCCTCGCTGTCGCGTCACGTATCGCCATGAAATTCGTCTACGTGTTACGTGATAAATGGATGAACACCAACCCCCTGGCGACATTCAGTGAAATAAATAAATATAGAAAAGAAAGAAAGAGATCCTGACCCGATAACGACCTCTTATTCCGCAGAGATTTGACTTTTCACGCTGATTTTCACTCTTCATTCTTCTTCGATTCTTCAGAGTACCTAAAGTGTATCCATACCATTCGATATTTCCCATTGAGTACCTTTTTGCTTTCTATACACGATATTCGAATTTATTTATGAACCTATGAATTCGAAATTAATTCAACAACCAGCAAATTCAATTAGCGAGTTAAATATTTAAGTTTATGCTTCTGCTACACTCTATATATTGCTAAACCGTTTTCTAAATAAAATACATGGTAATTTCATATCGGACGAGTCCCAAGAGGGAAATAAAAATGATTTTTCCATCTACTCGTCGTGTATCTTTATGCACGATGAAATAAATGGAGCAAGCGGTTTTTTTCACGCATAAATAACAACACGGCGTTCGAAGGAAATTTTTCATTTGCAAGATACTCTTTCGGGACCATCGTTTGGAAATACTGCATCGGTTAAAATGCATACGGGATAGTTCCATGCGTTTTCCGGATATGTATTCCCATTTCGCAGTTATTCACTGCTTGAACTGCATTCACGTTGAACAAGAGGTAGAAAAAAAAACATAAGCACACGTATCGCTAGTACAATAGGTATGATTTTTTTGTTTTAATAATTTTCGCGTACGTTCATTGCTCACTTTACTCTATTCTTTTTCTCCTGTAGCTAACAAATTAAAAGTTACTTTTGGTTTCTGCCGACTCATTCTGTACATATTGGTTCTCTGAGGAAAAAAATATGCCAGTCATTTTTCAAAGGAATTGGTTAACGTTATTTTAATGCGCCCCTGCTGGCGCGGCCACCGATTCTATATCGCTTGTTCACGTTTCTTGCTTTTTTTTTTATCGTTGCCCCGTTAGTTTTTATTCGGTCCACAAAACATTTTATTCCCAACTACGGTTACAACATCAACCACAGGTTTTCGTAATCCTTTGTTCACTTTTTACCAGGAGATTTACTAGAATTCCAATCATCCCCTTCAAATTCAGCGAATTTTTCAGTTTTAATATACACGCAAAGATCCTCCTGTCTTTTTTCCATGATAACCTGAAATGCTTTATTCCTGATTGGGCGACTGAGAAATTAGAATTGCGTCGTGCATATAAAGTAACTCACGTTTCTTACTTTACATCAGTTGGGTCGTCGTCACTTTTGCAGCTGGAGGAGAAACAATTTGGAAAGATCGATCTTCGCCCCTCGTCTGTTCAAATATTCTGCTCGACTCTTTTGTTTAATTATTTCTCACTGGACTGTTTCGATGTAATATTAATTTCACAGACATTAACAAGTTGATTGCTTTAGGGGTGACTTGAAGTGAAATACAATTGAAAGCTCAGCCAGTTTTAGGTAGGAAAATCGTCATAAGCAACAAGAGTAAACCGTATCCTAGAGCTTCGCGAATGGTCAAACCATTAATCAGAAGTGTAGGCTGCATCCTGTGCTCGTGGAATTCCATCCGGACGTTTCGGAATGTACACCGCGTATCATTTATCGCGTGCCATTTTCCATCTGGCAACGACGTACCGTGATACAATTACCATACGTGCGCAAACAAATGAAACGACCAGTCATTAGCGAGTAATAAATGACGGAGACCCGGTGCCGACCAGGGAATTTCATTACACGGCTTCTTGCCATGGCCGTTTCTATTTATCCTTCTTCACGCGTAGAAACACACCCTCTGGCGTTCACAGGAGACCCAATGAAACGCGTGAATTAGAAACAACGAAAAGATGAGGAGCGAAATGCTCTAAGAATTTTAACGATTATCATTAGCTTGCGATTCTTTACCCTAAAGGTTACGAGAAGCATAATCTTTGTTCGAATGCCGCGCGAACAAAGATTTTACGTGCCATAACTTAGCTGTCTTAAGTGGTATTGTTATTAAGTGCGCGCGTGCTCGTAAGGCCTTTATCAAGCTGGGTATAATAACGAACCCGTCCGACAAAAGTTGCGAGAGAACCCAATACTTGTCACGTTTCGTTGTAATATACGTCTGACAATGGGTTGTCCGTTTTCCCTTACGCCTCGTATCTTTCACCCTCTAATATGTACCCTACTGTAATTTTCTTGCGTTACTATGAGAGATCTTTGGGTTAGAGATACACTTGGATTATTACAAAGTTTGGGAAAGTTTTAGGTATTCTCAGGTAATTGGGAATAAATTATCTTCTCTTCTAATACTGGATTATGAAAACGTACTGAAAAGAAGTTTTCAAAATTTCGAAACTTTCAAGATACGTATGCCCAGAATTAGCGGAGCTCATTAATATCGGAGTTCTAGATTACATCGTGATTTAAATTAATTCGAATATACAGGACATCGAAGGAACGTATCGGAAACATACTTGAAAGCAGGCTATCAAACAGAGGAGGAAAGCTCGATTACTCTCTCTTTTGAAGTCACTTGACCCACTTCGATGTTATTCGCAAATGCGACTCTGATTGATCTTCGTCGTCTCTTCGAAGAACTAGAAACAAATCAGCAAGACTATCCTATGTATATTCATAAGATTGTTATTTAGTCGTAAAATATCGACAATTGAAGCGCGCCTCTTCGAATATTCCATGCTACATACGTTCCATTCGACAACGAAAGGTAAAAGAAATAGAATTTCTCGGCTATCTTCACATTTCCTGAATCGAAAATATTTCGTATTCTGGGATACATTTTAAAATATATATATATATACATAGATAGAGGGTGTCTCGATAAGGAAGAGACGAGTTTCTCCTGAGACGATAAATCGAAGATATAAAATAAAATTTTTGTAGCACCTTGTATAAAGAACGTGATAAAATATGAACGCATCTTTGCGACAATTTTTCTCCGTGAAATCGTCGCGTTGCTTCAACGAATTGATTTATCAGGAAGCGGCCAACTGTGGACAGTAACTAACACGTTCCATGATCGAGGATTAATTTATTGGAAATTTGTCTTGCTCAGCAAGACCATTTCTCTTGTCGTTGAAAAATCGTTTCTGTCCTCCACAATACTCTACACTAATACGTGATTACGTAGCTATCTATTTTTATCATCTTCTTCCTCTTTCTGGAATATAAAAAAATCTGGATCTACTCCACCCATGGAGATTTTCTTTCCACGATCTAATACTCATTTCTATCGTTCTTCTTCTTTTATTCTACTAGTTCCTACCTCAATTTTTCTCCACTATCTAATATTCATTTCTCATCTTCATTCATATACTATCGAGAATATTTTATCAGATTCATCCCCCTTTGACGCCTGGAAATATGTTTTATTCTTTTTAATATTCAGCTTGTCCGACCACGTATCGTCTCGTTCTTCATATTTAACACAATAGCCTCCCCAAAACATTTTATTTTCTTTCCTTTGTTACACTTTCTTTCAAGCCAAAGAAGACTCAGCCCGCGTAAATAGATATGTAAATATCTGTAGCGTAAAAACGAGATACACAACAGAGATGCTTTCTGGTTCAAGAGCTCGTTTAGCTCACGATGATCGTTTAAAGTATTCCCTAGCGAGTATCGACAGTACTTCTGTTGTACGCATCAATGCACGTTCCAAGATACGCACAACATCGCGTACTCGTATTTCCGTTTCGATGAGATCAATATCGGGTCGTTAGAGAGCATAAGAATCGACATCTCTCTGCACACGATCCCATTCTATTTTCTTTGCTGAAATCAACAAGAATTCGAGGCAATAGATATTCGCGACGACGAGAAGAGGGCTCGTAAAGGTGTGAATAAATGAACGAAAGGGTTAGATAAAAGTGAAACGGTGTAGGTAGATCGAGATAACGAAGGGTCCCGGGAAGGATGATCGATACTTGGTAAAAGAATCGATCGTTGATGACCCAGTTTCGCGACACGATATTATCCAGAGCGTCGAATTTATTTTTCGCCACGTCCTGGCTCAAGATTGCCAGAAATTTCGCGAACCCCTTAATTACTAAACAAGTTGTATGCAATCACGGTCTACGTTCACTCGCGTATATTGTTTGGGATATTTTGGATGATATGCATGTGACCTAGTTTGCGATTCTCAATAAAAGTGCTTTTGTTCTTCTCTGTATTCAGCTTGTCCGGCCACATGTGGTCACATTTCACTTCTACCTAGTTACAGAGGATGTCCAATAATTTCAATCCTTTCGTTGCTCTAAATGTGCATTTAGGAAACTTCAGTATTGAATATATTACGAATGATAAATTGTTCTGAGAGTAATTGAAAAATATGCAAAATTCCGTTTGGTTGCAGGTGCGTTCGAGGTCGTTGACCCAGTTGGACGCTCTGGGCAGCAGCATGCTGGACACGGGAGATCACCATCTGGGGGGTGGACCCTCGCAGCAGCAACCCCATCACCTCCACCACCACTATCAACCTCAAAATGTAGAAAGTGATCCTCGTTTTCTTGTGCCTAACGCCGCGTCCGTCGAGTCCGCCCATCAAAACCGCTCCAGGCACAAATTGTCTCGATCACAGGTAAGTAAAATATTAATTAACAAACTTAAATTCATTTTAGCTGGTTTGGTAACTCTAACGTTGCTCTCTTTCATGTACCCTCCACTTCAAACACTTACCTTTCCTCCTTCTCTCCTTCGTTAATCCTCAAACACCACACACACTCACGATCTACCGTGATATTATCTTATAGACAAAACTAAAGCCTACGTAACCGTAAGCTATATTACAATTTACGACACGACGGTATATAAACTTGATCCCTCGCCAACTAGAGAGGAATTATTAAAGTGTAAAAATATATACCTGGTGAAAGTGGAGCGATCAAGTAGTGGCGGTAAAACGACTGATCGATTTCAGGCAATGAAACAACCAGTTTAATCACATCGACTAGCAAATTTCCTATGATTGAGTACCATTATCGTTCTTACAACTGATCGTATCCGGTCGAGGCAACCGTCAAGCATAGAATTTTGAAAAGAACTTTAATTGAACGTAACGGCCGCGTTTGTAGCATTATCATGGACGCGTATTTATTTTTATGGACTAGTCGGAATTACCGTGACTCTCCCTGCGGGATCAGCGAAACGTCCTTTTGGCCCTGGTTCGAATCGATATCGCGCAAACGGGCCGTCGCTGCCTAGCGCGATTATCGATTCGCTGGATTTAAGTTTTGGACGTGTCCAAGGACGAGAGCCTGCTGAATTTGTTCGTGAAAAGTTCGTCGATCGAGGAGACCTGGCAAAAAAAAAGAGAAGAAAAAAAAAATTTCATAAACGACGGTTTTAAAAAAATTCTGCTCTCGAGAATCTCATCAATGAACGATACTCGACACGGTCTGATCGAGTTCAATAACGAAGTTTTTTGTTTCATGCTTCTCGGCAAAGTTTGCAGTGAAATGAAAAATGTGCCTCGAAAATTTCAGAAACTCGCGCAATATTTGAAATGAATTCGTGATACGAAAGGCATTCGGATAAAAAAAATTGCCTTCAGCTGGAAACAATTTGTCCGTCCAATGAATCGAATGTCTGCGATTTTTTCTTTTTTTCAAATATTTTACTATCGTTCTCTTGTGCGTATACATTTTCGAAAGTTTCGAGTGATCTGAAGAGGTTTCGTGATCGAATTATGAGGGCGAAACTAACGTTTGAGAATTAACTTTACTATACCGCTTTGTTCTACTTGTCTGACCACGCGCAGATCTGATCTACTTGACTGACCCATCGCGGCCTCATTCTACTTGTCTGACCACTAATACCGAATTTCACTGGGAAAATGGGAATTGTTCACTGCAATTCCTAGTGGTGCGAGGATTTGTTTTATAATTTAACAAAAGCTATTTTAACCAAATAAAACAATTGAAACGTAATACAATGAAACATACTCGACACATTTAGGTACTATCAGCACTCAATTAAAAATTCGATTATCGTAAACCATTTGCTCTCTGTAAAATAGAAAATAACGGTGCTCTCCAGTTTCCGTGTCACGTGTCGGGGTAACTTAACCCTATGTCAAAGCCAAAACGTCTAAATTTGAAAATCAACTTTTCAGGTATCTAGTAGCGAGTACTTCAGTGTCAGCTTCGACTTCTCCGACGAAGCGAGTACCTTAGACCGGGACGAGTTTTTACCTGCTACAAAAGGCACCTGTCTGGCGTAAGTGTATCGAATTGACTCTTAATTAGCCCCGTTATCAGGAGGATTCAGTGTACGTAATTAAATTGAAATTACTTGCAACTATAAATCAGTGGGATGGAGTAAGCGGAAACGAAATGTACAGGACGTTATTAAGCATACGTCAACGGTTAAAGGTTAAACTAGTGTATTTTATGATTAACATCCGGTCAAACGATTATCACGGTGGACGTTGGTCGAACGTACGCGACGTAACGTCGTCGTGTTCGCTCACGGCTGAAAATGCCGCGAACGACGCGTGTCAGGAGCAAATGAAATTTCAAACGATTTACGAGCTCGTAAATAGCAACGACGAACGGCAATTCCGTAGAATTCCCAAGTCAGGGATGGATGAAATGGGCGAATTCAACGGCGCGACGGCCTTGAAACAAGACCACCAGAGTCAGTACGAACGGTTCGAGAACTGACCTCGTAACGTTGATTATTAATCGTCGGTGAATAATGAATTATACTCGAGGGGGTGGCTCGAACTTTCCACTGTAATCTTGTCGAACCTACTTGCACTTTAAGAGCTTTAGATCACGACGTATCGCGTTCAAAGCAAATTCTACTTCTACCTACTTTTCTCTCAAAGTTTTGTTAAGGTACCGTTAGCACGTTCTTTACCACTTGTAAAATAATCATTCCCTCTTAAACTCTGCTCTATTTTCAAGAAATTGATTCGACTTCGTGCATGTTGAATGCTGAACACTTCGCGTAACGTGTCTCTGACGTGTCACTGTAGTTACAGGGGATGATCTTTATCTGTTTCAAAGGTGGTTAGAACGAACGACACTTGTGGGCGTCACGCGCTTGCGATGGCGATCTCTTATGAAAAATTTAAGTGTTTTACTTGGAATAATGGACGAAAGTTTACTCGGACTGTCATAGATTATCGAATTAAACAGAAGCGGAGATAAATAATTTGAGACAGTATCGTGTTTCCTTTCCCTCTCTATATTTATCACATTGCACGTCCAGCTTAGGAGTAATTAAATATTCATTACAGAGAGGCGTTGAACACTGTTTGCGAGAGGCGAGGTATCGATCTGTCACGGATCGAAGTTTTCGACGGTTTCTCCCCGCCATTGCCGATCCTGACAACAGACACCTCGAGCCTTGGTGGAAAACACTTGCGAATAACAGGTAACCAAGCATCGCATCGATCATTTAAACTATCCCTTATAATCTCCAACGTTTACTCTCTGTGTCTGATGTCCTCGAACCTTTAAAATTACACGATAAAAAAAATTTTTTAAAATGAGCCTCGACGGTAAAAGGTCGCTCGTTATCGGTAAAGTTGTCTCTCGTAACCTGATAATGGATTCACTGATTCTCCATTGACATGCTTCGACAAAATTAAGGGCCAACATTTACCAGCCACGTCACGAGTAGCGTGAACGTGACACGAACACCATAATTCATGCGAAATTGATAATAGATACGATCGTGACGTTGGTTCGAAGCAAAACTGGCATAATTGATGATAAGGCATAATGAAATCGACCCCGTCTCGTTCAGTGAAACGTTAGAAATCATATTAAATGACATCTTTAATCGCGATGAAGCGCTAACGTGAGCTAACATTGACCCTCTGAATTTGATGCTTCGTCGATTGAATTTTCACATCCAATTTTACGGTAAAATATCTATTAAACGTTCCATTTTTATATACGGCACTTTTAGATTTTATTCTCGCTCGAATATACCAGCGCGAAAGAACTTTGAAGTGGACTTTTGCTACGGACAAATCCGACGTGAACTTTCAGTAGTATAGCTCGATTTATACTCAGCCCAGAGGTGACGCGATTTTTAAACTCGAAATTTCCTTCTGGAAGAAACTTATTTGTACTCCATCATTGTGTATTTTCAGTATTTTCTAACATTAATTACTACAAACAATCTATGCTCGTCAGTACTGTAAACACGTACTGCTATTGAAACGCTTCAATTTACCGAAACTATATCAGACAACGATGGACTTAAACAATTTGCCGCGGGCTGTAAGTAGTATGACCCGATTATACTCAGACAGATAGACGACGATGTTTCGATCAAAGCTTCGCTCAACCATGAACAATCCGTTTATCGTACCAACGACCTGCGTTCACGTTTATCGCTCGCAGACCGTTGTTATCGTCTGCTTTACCACTCGCTAGTGGTATCGATCAAAATTGATCAGACCTGTTCTCCTTCAATTTTCTTATCCCAACGTTAATCTGTGGTCTGCTCGTAAAGTCTAGCGAATTGTGCTCATAACAGAACGATTGAATTATTCGTGGTGCGTGTTCGTGGCTAGACTAGGGAGGCAATATCCCATTATAGCTTTATCCGAACCTTCTTTTTACTACTTGGGTTACCGCTTAAATGACAATTACGATGGCTATTTATAGAGCGATCATCGCTACTTTGATTATCATTTAGGTCTTAAGAAATAAAACGAAATTTTATATACATATTGTTAATCCTAAATATACGTATAATCTCCTTTATAAATCGTCTGATCGTGTCAAGCTCGAGTTAAAAGGACCTAAAAATATTTCTAAACTTGTAAAGTCACGACCTTTAAGCCGTCTTAAGAAATATTGCGTCTGTGACGCAAAGCGTTTTAATGCGTGAACAAAAGGGGTCACGCAATAGCTTTGACGAACGTCGTTCCAGATGGTTATCGTTTTTAATGGCTACTCTTTTTTGCGTTAGATCAGAACGTTTTCCGTTTAGAGCGCGAAAAAACGGGAACATACGATCAGATATAGGCACGAAGAAAGAGAGAAGTTGTAACAATGAGTTGGCCTCTCTGTTCGGCCTGCCACGCGAAACTGTCAGAAACATCGATAACGCGTTGTTTTTCACTGGAAACGAACTTTGTCACCGTCATAAACAACCGTGGCTGTTTATCAATCACGAATATCAATCGTGACGTTCACTGTTTTAGTTTATTTCTACCATTGCTAGTAACGTCGTGACACTGATCGAACAATTCTATATCACCGTTGACGGTTTTCTATTTAACCCTCGAACGACGGCGACCAGCTTGTATCGCATTTAATTAATACTATTAATAAAATTGCAATTGCTATTAATGAAATACACTCGTAGATTTGGGTCACGACTGACTCAGCTGCACCCTTCGAGACGTAATAGACTTCTAGTCAATAAGGTGTCAAAATTTCCCTCCAAGTTCTTTTTCGTTCGATCGAATCGGTGAAACCGGAAGCTTATAGGCGGGCCCCCCCGGTTAATAGATGACAAAGAGAAAACAACGCTTCCTTAAGCCCTTCCCCACGGTGACCCGACGATTTTTCTCTGTTTCAGTGAAGGACAATGACAAATCGAACTCGAGGTCGACGAATCAGAGGGCCAACCAAAGCGCTTCGCTGAGGAAAACAAGCGGGGTAAGACGGAAACGAAGAAAATAAATGTTCGATGTAACGTACACGAGTACAATTTCATCCATTTAATGGAACCTTGAACACCTGAAAGCATTTTCTACCAAAAGGCGAAAGAATCGATCGTTCGAAGGGGAGGGTTAACCTTCGCATCCCGACACCTCGGAGCCCTTCTACTTTGTTTCCTCCCTCCTCGTTCCATTTCAATTAGCGCTGAATTTTTGCCTGCCGTTTTAATTAACACGGATTAATTGACGTGGAATTTTATACAAGAATTGCTCGTACGAATAGAATTGTTTGCCGGCTGTTCGGCTATGTAATCTTCCTCGGGAACGCATTTTCCAGAGTGCTTGGTTCACCTCGACGACTCGTTGTCGACATGCTCGCTTAATTTTCGATCGACTCGTTCGCGCCAGAGCAAACTTTCATCATTTTCGGTTAGAATTTACTTGCAATTATTCGAATATATCGTGGAAACAAATATAAAAGCTATTATACTCCATAATATATAAAGTCTAACAGGACAAACCATCAATTTGAAACTTAAAATTTCTGCCATTTATTTTATAAGATCTTTGACCTATAGCTATAATTGACTCGAAGACAAACTGCAAAATGATCCGTCAGGTGCAAACAATGCCACTAGGACGACGATCGATACCAATCCTCCCATTACACTGGCATCCGGATTCTAATGAGTTGCCAGGGAACGTGGTGGAAACTACAAACGCGATTCCATCGTCATCAATTTGCAGCCATTTGCCTATCACGTTCGAATTCCTTCGATTTTACGATCATTAAAATGAACGTCTACCAATGGTCGCGTTTTACGGTGTAGGAATCCAAGGATGAACACAGTTTCTTCTTAAAATACAGTTTATTTAAGATTGTACAAACTTTTGTGATTTATAATAATAAAATGGAAATCGACTAAATATTCTTCAGAGTTATCGAAGTCGCAGCGGTCGTTTCTTCAGCGTATCCACGGAGGACTCGAGCGTCGACTCCGAGGTCAGCAGCAGCACCACGCTCACTTCCGGTCGGAGTTCCGCTGGGGCTGCGGGACTCAAGACCAGTAAACAGCGTTGGAGTGGCTTTTTCACGAATACGAAGGGTACCAAATTGGATCTACTCACTGCTCAACTGGACGAATACAATAAACATGGTGTACCAAAAGTCACGGACATTCAACTACCCTACGAACTCACCCTCAACGAAGATGGTTGGTACTTAATTTAGTCGATAATAAAAATAACGAAACCGTTCAATAAATTATGTCACTTTATAAAACCTTTAAATATACATATATTTGTAACAATATTTGATCACCGGCGACGTTTCAAGTAGAAAATATTTGTACAGTCTCCTCTTCTTAATTTGCGTACTTTAATATAAAATTTTCCATGGACGTTGTCAAGGCTGGTCCATGGTACTGAAATGTCCTTGCCTGAAAAGAAACACAACGATAAATCGTCTTGACAAATTTCATTGCAGCCTTGTACAACTTAGAGGAAGACTGGCGAGTGATTGTACAAAATTCAGACCAATTGTCAGAAAAACAACAGCAACAACAGACCGCTCTATGGGAGTTGGCTCAAACGGAAGTGGCTTATATCAAGACACTAAAGGTCGTGACAGACGTAAGTGTTTCATGAAAAACTTGGCCTGATTAATAACTAACGAATCGTTTATCTAATGTTTCAGCTGTTCATGGCGTGTCTGTGCAGCCTGCAGGCCTCGAATATCCTGAACGAGGTCGACAGGTCGAAACTATTTAGCAATATACCCGAGATCCACGCCGCCAATCGTTATTTCTGGACAGAATACGTATTGGCGATGGTGAACTCTTCGAGAACTACTGGTCAATCGCTCGATCCTGGACACCTTTTGCAAGGTTTCGAGACGTTCGAGCAAACGTTCGCACCGTACACCAGATACTGCGCCGAACAGAGCAGGTGCCAACAGTACTGCAGAGATCGTTTGAATGATAATCAATTATTCACGGTCTATCTGGTGGTAAGAGGGTTGGAACATTGTCATTAATCCTTTAGCTATGATAGAACTCTCAGTTATAGACTATAGACATACGTATCCGCTTAGATTGACATGTTTGATTTACTAGCGTTTATTGGGAATACACGTGTGATTAATGCAGACGATTTGCTCGTTACTATTGTTTCGTGTTTCTGTATTTATCAGTGGTGCGAGACTCAGAAGGACTGCAACCGACTCAAACTCCTCGATATATTGGTTAAACCTATGCAGAGACTGACCAAATATTCGCTCCTTCTGAAGGCGGTTCACAAAAACACGGAGAACGAAGATCAGCGAGCGGAATTGACGCACATGGTAAGAGTGATTCATCGTAATCAGTTACGAAAAAATTTCACTCGTCGGTCGAATGTTATAGATCAAATCTGTAGACGATTTCGTGGCATCGGTGAACGCCGCTTTGAGGAGGAACGAAGAGACAGCACGATTGGCTGCCGCTGCCTCTCGTATAGAGAGCTACGATGTGGTGGAGTCTAGAGACGAAGAATTGGAAAAGTTGATTAAGACACACAGCATGTTTGACATCACCACCGTGCCGATTCCTGGTTGTCCGAAAGACACGTTGAGGGTGCTTCTTCGTGAGGGAGATTTGAAGTTGAGGGATGCTGCTAGCAGTAAGGTAACGAAGTACTTTACGAAGTTTACCATTTAATCGAAGAACGTTACAACTTTAAGGCTGAATAAACTCGTCGAGTAATAAACTTTGCAGATGGAAGTACATGTACTGTTGCTGACAGACATGCTATTGATCTGCAAGCCGTCTACCAAGAAAACCTCCTCCAGCGGTCTAAGTGGAACCGCCGGTGGTTGTTTGAAGATAATAAGACAACCGTACGTGATCGATCGCATCCGAATATACGAGCTAAAAGAGCCAAGCAGCTTAGGATTGGTATATCTGAACGAATACGGGGCGGCATCAGCTGCTTTGGTTCTCAGCGCTGGAGAATCAAAGCTGGCTAAGGTAGAAACGCGTGTAACTTGCCCTGTCCAATGTTCCAAACCCCGTATATAACGCTATCGTGTTCCGTTTTCAGTCTTGGATGGAGTCCATAAGAAAGGCTCAACAACAATTCGCGTTAATGAAGGTACCACCGCTTGGAGGTACCATAAGCCTAGGAGCAGTTAGTCGACAACCCAGTACTTTCCTTGGGGATGCTGATTTTGAGGGTGAAGAGTGCGAGGGTATTCCAAAGACTCCTCGAGGAAGCAGCAGAGCCTCGAGAGTAAGCAGTCTTGCCCACAGTCACAGGTATGCTACTAGATCCTTCGAACAAAAGGTTCGAATAAGAAGGAAACTGACAACGATATGAAAATTTCACGAAATCTGATCAAAGTCGCGAAACTGTTTCCAGTGGAAGCATAGAAATGGAGGGTGTATCCCCGGGAAGTAGCAGCTTCTTACCCAGCTACAATCCAAGCAGAAACGTCAGCGTGGAAACTAGCGAACCACCGCGTGCTTCGAGCGTGTCGTCCGAGGAAGGAGGTGAGAGTTCCGGGCACAATCACAGACCATTGCAGATAAGGTAATTGAACACGAATAGATCGAAGAAAATTCACTGGATACATACACAGAGTGGAGAAAAAAAGTGCAATCTGACCAACTGTTGACCATTATTCTAGTCCTAACAAATTTGATAATAGACGATATCTGCTGAGTAAGTCACCGACGCCCAACACGCTGAGCGTCCAAGTTCCAGCCTACTCTAGTTTGGGCCAATCGCTGCCAAACTTGACCCTAGCCACCTCGCCACAAACATCGACCGTGTCTCCGACACCGCCAAACTCACTTCTTATCGTACCCCAAATAACAAAGAGCAAGGACACTTTGCTTTCACCAGGGCACCGAGGTAGCAATTACCCACGCGGGAATATATCATTTCTTTTCATTTCTTCCTCGTTCTTTTGTCCTCGTTACCCTGTCAGAGGCTTATTTCAGCGAGAAACACCGAAAAACGTGGCACGCTGCATGCTTGAAGAAGTTGCTGGCCAGGTTGAGCATCGCGACAATACGATATTGAATTAGATCAAAACTGAACTTTTATTTCTCGCTGTACTCAATCTGCTGTTGAAAAAATAATTTCCGTTTACCTAATCTCTTGCTTTAAAATAATCTAAGTTATAATAATAAAAGATGAAAATGATCCGTACGTTATGGTGTTAATAGAAGATATATTATCAGGTATCTCGTATCCACCACCGTCACCTCCGAGAGGTGCTCTCAGAAGAGCATTCGCGATTCCACAGTCACGAAATCCACCCCTCGTTAAAACAAGACATATAAGCACGTCTGTGACCCAAACGGTTCAGCCTACGATGAACCTGGACACGGAAGCCATTGAGGAGAGACGAAGAAGGCTGGAACCTTCGCACAGGATGCCATCGACGAGCAGCATCGCGGAGGAAAAGGTTCTTTCAACACTAACTCGATCTAATTTTAACGCATTAGTTTGAATTACGCCTCCTTCGAAACGTTCTATACCAGCCTCTTGAATATTCAAACAGCACGAATCTCACTTACTGCCTAGAGGTTTGTTAATGACGAAATAGAGCCAGCTGGAAAATCAATATCTACAACACCCACGTTGTATTTCTTCTCTTTCCTTGCCCTACATAAAGAAGAAATTATTGCTCTTAGTTCGTTAATTTAGATGAAACTCGTTCCACATCAATTTCGTACGACCGTTGTCCCATATATTTTTTATTTTTTTTTTTTTTTTTTTATTAACCACATAATTTATTTCAGAAATGACGAGAACTGGGATACAAGAGTAACCTACCAAGAAGGTAAATTGCTAACGGACCATCTGCTAATTTGATGAGGGTGTACGTGATACGTCGTGTTTAGAAACAAGACGTTGTTTTCTGTTGTCTGTATGCAAGTGCTGCACACACTTTCATGCAGAATCAGAAAATAGGTTCAAACGATCGGAAATGAATTCAATTTTGAAGTAGACGAACGTCTCGTACTCCCTTGTGCCTACGATATGAATCGAGCAATTTTACAATCGGTAAGTATATGAACCTTCTGGTTAATCTATACATGTACATAAATGAAATATGATGAATTAGTAATCTGTTTCAGATTGGGGCCATTCGAAATCAACGCGAAGTTTGTACCACGACCGTATCGTTGTAACTTATTTGATTCTAGCCGTATAACTTCTTAGGTCTCATTTTGTAAATTAATCAAAGGTGAACTGAGGCTGAAAAACGACTCACGTTTCACAATGTTACCCTAGTTCATTTAGAATTCTAAGCGACGAACAGAACAGAATAATAAAAAATGGCCTACTTAGAGTAATTAATCTTACGAGGACTATTTATCGTGATTTTAAGTTTAGACGAGTTATAATGCTAGCTGAATTTAAGACGCCTCTAGTGAATAATTTTAACACTTAACAACCAGTTCGAGTTCACGATTTAACGAATATTCAAAGTTAAATAACAACGCGAACAAGTTTTAGAGGATACACGCGCGTAGAAATAAATTACACTTTACGTAGATGAGAAATTGCGCTAATTCCTCGTACAAGCTTCGGTATAAAAGTAATTTAAAGAGAAATAAAAGTGTGGAAGAATACGAGACGCATCAATGAGCGAACGAGAAAGGAAGAAGATAGAAAGATATGTTTACTTTAAGTACAAATTCGATTTCGCAATATTTTGTTCAAGAGACTGAACTAAAAATGAATCGGGGCTGTCGACGAATGCCACCCTAACTAGAGACAACAATACGTAGAGAGAAAACAAGAGCAATGATTTTATACGAGCTCCTTATGTAAGGTTTCTTTTGACCCCATCAAATTTTCGCAGCTTGCATTAAGCTTAAAGAAGAAAAAAAAAAAGTGTTAAATTATCGTAAAAAGAATAATCGATTGTGCGTGTATGTACGATCGCTCGCGATCAAAGTCAAAATATAGTACATAATTTATTAAACATTTATCTCTTTCAGCACCTAATCGAATTCCTCGTTCCTGAATAATAGATATTATCATTTTAATAACAGTCAACTTGAAAATTTATCCAAATATTTACAGAATTTTATTGATCATTGCATAGTACAATACGAAAATTTCATACTAAATAAATTAAACAATTTTAAGATTTCCAATGATCAGAGATTGTTTCAACAACCCCTTCGATATTATATAGACTCTCTCTATTACTCAATAATAACAAAACTTTGAAATTCAACGCTTGAATATAAAATAATATTGAAAAAGAGAATGTTACAAGTTATTTACATATGCATACGGTATTTCAACTTTTTTTAACGCTTATCTACCATCTAATCATAACCTAAGAGGTAAAAGATGTTGAAAGTTCTTAGAATGCTACATTCCAAACTTACTTGTACGATTGCAGGCCGACGGTACGAGGCAAAGTTCAGTCAGCAATCATTTGCCATATCTTGACACGTTCGTGCCTCGCTACGTTCATCTGCCAATGCTTCCAAAATGTCCAACAATAGTTCTCGACTTAATTGTTTAAGTCTGGGAACCCTTGCAACCTGTAGCCGAATAAAATCGTGTTCCATAACAAAAGGAACACTCTGTTCTGTGAGATATAAAAGAAAGAACTGTACCTTTGTAAAATGATGTACAATAAGATTCAAAGCATATTTCTTCATATCCGCAGCTTGCATTCTGTCAGCAGCTTCCAAAATTTGTATCACATTTTCAAAAGTAACGTTCATTTCAAGATTCTGTTTGCAAAATGCTTGCAATCTATTGTTCGTGAAACCATAGAACACTGGCGCGGTGAACAAATACAGAGAATCTTCAGGAGGCATTGAAACGTCTGCGTAATAAATGTACCTTAACAATGAATCAAACGAGTCAGAAGATGGAATCATTTCACCGATCTGTATCTGAAAGAAATATACCTACGATAGGAATATTGAATTACTTGAAACGAAGAAAATAGATATTAAATATTCACATTCACTATATTATTTCCTGGCATAAACGAACGGAACATTCCCTCGAAATAACTACACCGCGCTGCAAGAATCGCTTTATGAGCTGGAATTGGTACGCCGTCTAACATTAATGTTATATCACAGAATTCTCGACCGACGCTTTTCAAAAATGCCTCCATATCTTGTTCCAACGTTGTCCCTGAAACAAAACTCGAATTTAAATAAATATTTGACCTAATATTAATTTTTTACCATTTTGTATTTGTACCTGTGCTAAGGTCACATTGTCTATGAAAGACTCCCCTCAGGGGCATCTGCCTTTTCCTAATGATTTCAACCATCAAAGGTTGATCCAAAGTTTCAAATTCTTTGCTCATTACAATCTCATTGTAATTACTCTCCTTCACCACGAAATTTAGACAAAACTCTTTTATGAAATACAGTTTCAAATGAGCAGCATTGTGTAATGCTTCTAATACATTGGCATGGCTAATGGTAGCCTTCAGATATTGAACACATAGTTGTTCCAATCGTTTCATATTAAATTCCAAAGCTAAACGATACACATCCATCATAAGAAGCACGATTCGATTGCTCCATGGGTCTTCGACGCTTTTATTCGAACCATTTTTGCTTCTTTTAGTTGGATCGATTCGATCGGTGTAAATATAATTTAATACCATTTCGAAAGCTTCCGGTACAGCATCTGTTAGTCTCACCTATCATAACAAAATACCATCAAATAACAGTGTTCATCGCTAATTAAAACAATTCATTTACCTCCAATAAAGGAAGATCTTTGATTGGTACATCCACAATACCAAACACTTCCTCTAAATGTTTATCTCGCTTTTCTCGTGCTTGCCTAATACGAGCTCTAAGAAATTGAGAACGAGCTGTTACCATTGCTATATGCGCTGGTATTTTTGTTTCTGAATCACCAACTACAAATTCGACATCGCAAAAAAGACGTCCATTTAACAACCTTCCGAAATCATCGTGTAAAGTGCACTTTGGATAGGATGAAAATTGAAATCGATATGTTTCTCCGGATCGTACATTATTATCAACTGTACCGCCAAAAATGAACATTGCCTCTCCGATTACTGCTGCCGCGTGGAATAGTCGACCGGATGGAACCTGGAAATAGAAAAACGAAATAAAAATTTGTACTTCGGAGTTTATTATAATATTTATACCTGACTGTCAGCAGATGGCAAAATGATATTCCACGTTTGGGTATCAAGATCATAGCAATGAAGATCGTTAGGTAGGGTAGAATCAGCAGCACCGCCAAATACATAAAGATGCCTATCAAAACTGACCATGGTATGACCATATCGACGCGCTGGTGGTGGCGGTGCACCTCGAAGAATGTGTTCAGTTGAAATTCGTGTCCATCTAATGATGTATATTTTTTTTAAAAACACAATGAAATTTTAAGATATAAATAATGGATTTACCGTTTCTCTCGAAAATGAAATTGAAAGAGGCTATTAGTTATCTTGGCTCCGCTCTGACCACTAAATACAAACATCGATTCACGTGCTACGGCAACCGGAAAGTTACAACATGTTGGTGGACAGTCACCAGACTGAACAACTTCCTCCCATATCCTTGGTTCTCCAGGCTGAAAGAAATTAAAAATGAATTAACATACTGATATGTATGTGCTACAGTTTCTATATCAACTTACTAATAATGATATTGTCCACATATCATTTAATCTTGCATTTCCATCATACCCTGCAAATATCCATAACTTATTGTCATATATAGCAGCTCCATGTGCAGATCTAGCAACAGGAGTTCTACAAAAAAAAAGGCATAATTAATATGCCATACAAGTATCTGACACGCATAACTTGTAAAAAATAATTAAAAGTAGAAATAAGTTAATGAGATTAGGTGAGTAAAACATACTTCCCAATAAACTTCCATTCAGTCCATTGGCCAGTTTGAAATCGATATTCAAATAAGTCATTTTTATTGGTGAGATTTGAATTGGAATGTATATCACCAGTGTAACCACCAAATACAAACATAGAAGAATCATGCACAACTGCTGAATGATGATAACGTGGAGCAGGAGGTATTCCTGTTGCAAATGCACGTCCCCAGGACTTTTCTTTCACATCAAATCGTAACAAATCATTCAACATTCTTTTACCATTATCACCACCAAAAACATATATCGCATCTTTGTATGCTACAACAGTATGTTTGCTACGCCTGTGTATAATACAATATAGTGAACTTTGGAGTAATGCATTTACAAAAGCTTTTCCTAATTATAACACTTGATGCAAGGAAATAAAGAATAAGAAAACATCTGCAATGAATTACTATTATAATTTAAATAACATAAAAATTCTTCAAATCATTTATTATCATTTATTTACAATCTCTAATTAACAATCATAAGTAAAATGTCTTTAACAAGTTATAAAACAAATAAAGAAACTGGTAAATGCTGGATACAATTGAAACACTGATGCACGGTTATTGGAATTAAAATTTGCTGTAACAAAATTATTGATTGTACAAATAACAATTTAAGAAATCAGAAAAAGTGGAAAATAATCTGTCAAAATTGAAAATGGTATTCGAAAATATAAACTGAAATAATCGAATTACCTGGCACCGACAAATTCGTCACATTCTGGCATACGTTGCCAGCGATGGACTGTTTCAAAAGGTCCAAACTCAAGAGTCAAACACTCTGCAGTCGCAACATTATCCATTTTCGCTTATTTCAAAGAAATACAGTCACTTTAGGAAAATCATGCTTAACCTATAGTATACCGACTGAATCATATCTCATATTTTACAAACTCAAAGCTTCCATTATACAGAAATAAATCTGTGAACATTTCCAAGCTCAAATATTAATGACGCTGTATTATAATATAATAAAAATCCTATTTATATGATTTAAAAGGTAGACAAATCACTCGTCTATTGAACTGTCAAAACCGTATGGTTATATCGATCGAGTAGAGTACATACAGTCGGGGTTACAAGAGAACACATTAAAACTATAAAAAATCGTTTATTTTACATAGTTTACTCAATTGATATACAAAAATCACAATAATAATACTTCTTTTAATTGAGTTCGATAGTAAAAATGGATACGATATGTTGATTTTAAACTATCACAAGAAAAGTGCAAGCGCTCCAAGCTCTACTCTTATGAATTTGATGCGGATTTGAGTTCGTCCACTGTCCACCGCTCCATTTGGTGAGCTGATGTCGTTCCTCCCAGGCGCCAATTTGGTTCCAACTGATAAGTTAAAAGCTGCCCTTCAAATCCCTAGAATAAGGGTGAAGATTTTGCCCTTATTCTAGGGATTTGAAGGATAACTTTTATCTTATCAGTGGTACCAAATTGATGGCTAAAGAAACTGTTGGTATTTTGAAAGTGTATTTTATTGTATACCGTTACATGTTCACGCGAATGCAAATACTTTGGTAAATGTGTTTGATGAGTCTGGTAATTACAAGCACACCGTTTAAACGATGTAAAGTACATATCTACATATGATGCGGCTAAGTGATAACGCGTGAGACAACGTGCCAACGCGCGGAATCGACACCGAAAGAGTTGTCTACCAATTTCAGTCTTTCCCTAAACAAAACAATTAATGAGAAGAATGGCACGAAATGTATTTCAAAATGGTAAAAAGATGTTTTGGATCGGTTGCGCGTGTATCGGTACGTACATTGCGTATCGATATTGGAAAAAGCGAGAGCTTCTGACAATAGACGAAGGTTTCGAAGATGTGTCAAAGGTTAGAGTCTCTATTTTACTCGAAAGAATTTTCGATTATCAACATTGAACATCAATTTCCTTCGTATATACATGTTCAGAATAAATTTTGGTAGCAGTTACTGTTACTTTTCTAGGCTGACGATAGTCGCGAAAAAAGGGTACTTCTATTGGGTTTAGATGGAGCTGGAAAAACTTCAATTATAAATCAACTATGTGTTGCAAATGGTGATGAACATTCTTACACTATTCCTCCAAAACCAACAGAAGGTTCCTCTGTATATAGAATAAAAAATGGATTGTATTCTTATAATGTTTGGGACAGTATGTACATTTTATTATTTCTGATAAAACATCTCTTGCAACATATACCCATATTGATGTTGTTAAATATAATTTGATTGTTAGTTGGAGGTGCAGATGCTACTAGAAAATATTGGACTGCCTTTTTACAAGATACAGACCTTCTGTTGTTTGTAGTAGATGCATCAGATGTAAACAAATTATCTTTGGCTGCTATTACTCTCAAGCAGTTGTTAGGCGATGCAAGATTGGAAACTGTACCAATTTTAATAATTGCTAACAAACAGGTAAATGTAATTTAACAAAATTGTTATCCCATCGTTTGCACAATATCTAATATATTTATATATGAAATCAGGATTGTCATAATGCACTGAAACTAGATGAAGTTAAGAAAGCTTTAGATTTATTAAGTATCTCCCCTCATAAGCACAAAGTAGAAATAATTGGATGTCAAACAAGACCTCTTCCTGAAATGCCAGCAGAAACAACTGAATATACCTGGCACCATACATCTGTGGATACTGTTAGGAAAAAAATATTCTCAATGGCCACATAATTTTGTAATTATTTGTTTTTGTTTAAAGTACTTTATATATAAACAAGAAAAGAAAAATAAGGAAATGAAAGAGCAATGTGAAGAGACAGTATGTCTGGTTCAATGTACTGTACATATATTCTTCATGAACTGAATCTAGGTGATTAAAAAGAATTTGTTCAAACTGAACCTTTTTAAGAAAAGAATTCATGGTTAAAATGATAGAAATAAAAACATACAATTTTTAAGTATTTCTCACTATATTTGCAGTTGTTTAACTTGATTCTAATTTTTACACTGGTTTCTTCAACATAGGTATTTATTTAATAAATTATTTATTTGCTTTACTAGGACACAGTAAATATTTCTCATATTAATTATGCACAAAGTACATTACAGTAATTTTTGTAATTAATATACGTACAAAGGAATAAAGATTCAAAAATCCACATCAATTAGCACAAATTTATTTTAATGATTATTAATGGATAATGTTACATGAGATGATAAAAAAGTATTATCTGTAGGTTTTTCCCTACTACTGTACTTACCTAAACAACATTAGTTTATTTATTTTAATACTTTATATACAAATTTGAAATATATTCCTATTGAATAGAACAATGAATTAGTTGTTATTGTTTATCTTTGTTTGAAGATATTCATTGTACTGCTCAGGGATACCCTTAAACACTTTTATTTTAGCACGTATTTGTTTCCATGTTAATTGATCATAATTCTTTTTATCTCGTGCCATTGCCTATGTATAATTAATTTAATGATAAAAAATATTTTTGTCAATGTAAAATAAATTACTATTAAAACAATGTAATACCTTATAATCTTCTCCATACTTGTCCAGTAAATAGGTAAGAAAATTTACTTGACTATTTGGTAACTTAAACATTCTTCTTCTAGGAGCTTTTGCCTCTGCTTCAAGTTCCTCAGACACATGAACTTTTACTGGTGTCATCTCAACATCTTCATCCTTCTTTGATACATTTTCTAAATCTTCAACTTTAAACTTTTCAACAAGTTGCTTCTTGTTACTAGAAACTTTTAGTGTTTCGTTTGGGTCATATGCTAATCCCATTTGTTTTAGATTAGTGCGGGTGGATTTAGTTACTTCCCACGAATCTTTCAACTGTTTGCTATAAATAATACAATTTAATTTCTTTACTTCGATAGATGCAAAGCGTGATACTATTTTTGGTTATAATAATTACCATTTTATTGTTGGTAACTTTTGTAACTTATTTCGTAATCGCTTACGATTCACATTCATACGAAACTTCTTCCTACGCTTCACTTTTCTTATTTTCGTCATTGCGATGACTCCAAATTACCACGTGTTTTACAAAAACAGTCGCCAAACTTCCTTCAAACCCTTTTGTACAACATCAAAGCATTCAGCAGGTTATGCATTCGACATTTTTTTCCTATATTAAAATGATTTTCTAGGGTCAAATCATTTTTAATGGATCATCGTAGTGGTACAACTGCTAAACTACTATTCCTCCTAATATTCAATACAAATTCTTCTTTTCTACAAATATTTTAGAGAAATTAACTGTGATTATTATGTAATATTTTGAATGTAACATTGGAAAGTATTAAAAAAGTATTCCTAAAATATAATTCATAAAGTTTCGATGACTATGATGAATAATTTCTATTTGACTCCATTTTTGACATGAAACAAAGAGTACGTCTAATGTAATTTCTCTGGACCAACGTATATATTTTAGCCTTTTTATAGTATATAATCGAAAATTTAATACTTATTTTCCGTTTTCTAGTTCAATTAAGGTTTATTCATTCAACTTAGGTATTTGAATAAAGTGTTACAAAAACCGGAAGTTAGGATCCGGAAACTTCAATACTTGAAGGACACAAGCGTTCGAACTCGTCAGAAATTATTCCACGAAAGTGAGCGAATGATGAATTCGTACCGAATCGCCTATCGAACTTCAATCATTCATTGTATGTAAATTATCCTGGTTACCTTAAAATGGTAGTTTCATACAATTAGTTGTACATGCTCGAAAGTCTTTTAATAAAACATAATGAAGTTCAAGCACGTGGACGAAGGTATTGTACTCGCCAACGTGATTCATTGTTTCTATTGTTCGCAACCTTTTGTTATTACTATTTTACAAATCACCTCGATTTACTTTTGTTTCATAGAAAGTATCCTCGTATCTTTGCTTTCATAAAGAAGATGTGACAATTCATTACTGGAAAGTCATCCATAAACGATCTTCTTCAACAAATTGCGTATACAACAAATCGGCGTACTAGTATCTTATTTTAATAGAAGGTAAGGTTAAAGTAAAATAACGTTATTTTCAATTTAAAAAATTAAAATATATTTATCAATATTTGAGAATAAAAAATAAGGTCTATTTCAGTGCGAAGTTCGAATGTAAATCGGTGCGTATAATCTAAATACAATTCAACATCATATCTACCTACTAATACGCAACATCTATACATGTAAGTACAAGTTGACTGTCTTACTAAGGATAAAGTTCTATCTACACATTTTTAATCCAGTTCGTTTCGTTTAACCCTTTCACGCCTGAAGCAAAACTTAGCTTATTCGTATTTTCCGAATCCGACTCGAGGAGAGCAAAGATTCTAGCAAAGCGAATAAGAACCAAATGCTGATAGGACTGAAAGGGTAACACAGATTTACCAGGAGTAGCTGGTACCAAGACCTTGGAAGACGGCGTGCACAACAGGGGCACCAGCTTCGTATCCGTAGGCCTTGGAGACAAAGTGAGTCTGAGGAGCGTACTGCAGAGGGGCAGCGTAGGTCTTGGTCAAGAGAGGAGCTGGTGCGAGGGAGGCGGTGTATCCGTGAGCAGGGGCAATATAGGCACTCTTGGCGACAACTGGGGCGTGAGCAGCGTATTCGTAGGTCTTGGTCAGGAGTGGAGCCGATTCGACGTACGATTTGGTGAAAAGGGGGGAAGCGTATGATTTGGCCACGAGAGGAGAACCGTAGGTCTTCGTCAGAAGTGGAGCAACTGGTGCGGAGACGGCAGCCTTGGCGTAGATCGGTGCTGGAGCGGCGTAGGTTTTGGTCAGTAGAGGAGAGCTGTAGCTGTACGGGGCGGCGTAACTCTTTGCCAAAAGAGGAGTACCGTAGCTATAAGGGGCGGCGTAGGTCTTGGCGATTAGGGGAGCAGCAGTTGGAGGGGCTATGTATGTTGGGGCTGCGTATGCGGCTTTCAGAACAGGAGCCTGTGGGATGTCGTAGTGCAACAGGCCATCGTTGCTGACGCTATGACTGCTAACTCGTACGAAAGAGTGAGCCGAATCGTCGGATTTCGAGTAAGAAGAAATCACGTTCTGACCCGCGTAGCCTTTCTGCGTGGACTCTTGGCTGAAGCCGATGCTGCTGTGGTCGCCGGAAGATGCGGCGATGTCGTAAGCTGCTGGCCCACCGGCGCTGGCTAATGCCACCAAGGCTGCGAGTACGATGAACTGTAAGAAAGTCAATTAATTATTATATGAAAATTTTAGTAACTTTCAGTCTGTTGAAAATTGCTGTAGCGTTATGGAACTTATACCAATTAGAAGTTTCACTATAGTCTTTTCTACTTTTTGCTAAGGGTATATATTCGTTCACGAAAATGCTTACCTTGAATGCCATTTTGCTTTTATGAGAAAGAGTGGCTCGGTTCTGACCAAATTCGTATCCTGACCGAGTATTTATATGCGCGTAAGGTTGCAGGGGGATCAATTGTATTTTGGGTGCCGCTGATCCCAATTGGGATTGGGCATGGCCGATCAAGGGAGAGGGAAACTGTACCGCGAAACTTTTTGTAAGAAATCATTAAGAAAGGAGGATAGAAAGTGGTGGAGACGGATAGTCGAGTAAAAGAGGGCATGGACGTAAGTTTCGGGCGTGGTTTCGGCTGAACTAAGATCGCCAATTGATAATCGAATCATAATCAATTTTCTACTAACTTGTCGTTAAAGTAATTTTTAAAATTAACTGCTTACATGTTTTAAATAAATATTGTTACTTGAAGAATATATCAAATTAACGGTTAATGGTGTTTTTCAGGTAATAAATTTAGCGAAGTATGTGCTTGCACTTGAAGGGCCTTTAATACTGCACATTATCATCACGCGTGACATGAGCTGATTTTTCCCCTTAAAACTCACATATCCTGTATTACGTAAGAGAATGTTGCTACGTCATATGAAATGTTTAATAACTTTTTTTTTTTCTTATACCATGTCCTTCCCTTCGTTTATGTAACATGATATATATACCAATGCCGGGGCGTGATATTGTAAAACTTGTCAAGGACACACTTTCTCCAAATTGTGGCACTGACATATAAAGCCATACAGGTTCAACACCAGTTTCCACGTAACTTTTGCACGCGTATAGGTGATCTCGTTTTAATACTAGACAAAGTTGGCTGTCGCGATTTCAGCCGGAGGTGGGTAGCGCGAACGAAAATTAATAGGTGTGACACTGCTAACCTTGAAGAGATTTGCAATGACGTAAATTCAAATTCGTATACACGATCCAATTTTAATGACATATCACAAAAAAAAAAATCGGATCTTTTGCTGTCACTTATTTTGCAATTCTGATATTTTTCAGCATCTGAAAATGAAGGAAGAAGGATAAGGATCGCCGAGAGCCTTAAGAATCTCGTCGAGGACATACAGGTGCAAAGGGTTAATTTGTAATTAACATTCTTATTTCTGGCTTACTTTATTCAAACGTCCCTCTTTTTTAGGTTCCTTCTCGAGGATTTCATTAGAATCTTTTGTCTTAGTATTTCGAGGATCTTTAGCATATGAGTTGCTTCCGGAATTGCCAGGAACTAGTTGCACCTTATTCTTTAAAATCCACTGACTGATACATCTCTTCAGCATTTTCTCGTGATCCACGTTATCCAACGAAAAATCAGAAAAGGTATTATCGATTTCGAACCGTTCTGGATCGCAGGTAGCTTCAAAATTTGCGTCATCAACTGTCTGTAATGCGATCCAACGCAATTCGACTTCCTCCATGGATATTTTACCCTTTTTCCTTTCATTCAATTTGTCGGATGACATCGAATTTATCGGTAATGTTTCCAGCTGCCCTTGCTCTTTAGATGTTGATGGCTTTTCTTCTCCTCCACGATAAGAAACCTTGCACTCAGCAGTTGCATCCTTCTTTGGATACGCCAACTTCTGCATCAACGATTTATCTGTTTCGAAACTGTGGCCTTCGAGGCCGACATCGGGTTTAAAGGTTTCTTTAAAATGCTTTCAAGCACGACCTTTACCAATTAAGCCTGTTTTACCAATTTTCTTTTCGTTATCCTGACTGAACGGCTTTACGTTGACCGACGTCTCGCTATCAGAACTTGGGTCCCAAGTTGCTTGACCGTGATTTTTCATGGATTTGTATCGAGCGTAAAGTTGTTTAAGTATTGTGGTGTTATGAGGCGACAAGGAATTGCTTTCTATCAAACGTTTCGTCATTTGGAGATATTCCTCCATTGGGGACAAATCTTTTGAAAGTTTGTAATTTAGATACCGTTCGATCGGTATTGCGACGACAAATTGTTTACGTATATTAATTACCTTTCGAGGAGTTAGAAGAAGGACTTTGATGATTTATCTTTACCTCGTGAATCATGAAAGTCCGAACATCTTCGTCCATTAATTCGTAAGATTGTGTGGGCAATGCGTTTTCGCTTCCCCAAGTATTTGGTATTGGAGGTCTTTCTTCTTTAGATTTATTTTGCATTATTTTAGTGGTTTACTGTTTGAAATTTTGAACTCGTAAAGGGAAAATAATTGAAATTTCAATGTTAGGTTATAAAATGATTTTTATTACGATCACAGTTGGAGATTCTTTGCTTTTTTTTGTTGTATGTTATAAACAGAAATTTGTATAGCAATTATTTTTCGTCCACAATAAATTTAGGGTTTGCATTTAGGGTTTCACTATAAATTGTACTGTTTACGTTAGGTAAATAAAAAAGAAAGCAAAAATCAAAAACAGAATTAGCCGACGAGGATGGGATTCGAACCCACGCGTGCAGAGCACATTGGATTAGCAGTCCAACGCCTTAACCACTCGGCCACCTCGTCCGATGAACATTTTATCTTTAAATGATCATAATATTGTAAAACTTTTTAATTTAACATTAAACTGCACACTTTTTAATACTTCATACTAATTGATTGAAATCCTACAAATTTCGATATATCTTAGAATCTCTTGCTACATCTGTTACGCGTGATATATGCTTTTTTTTAAATATTGAACGCACAACCACGTTACGTAATAGTAAAAGTATGCAAATGAACTTAGATATTTATGATTGTTGTACATAAATTGTATTATTAACAATTTTACATCATCTTTTTTTGTCATCGATGCTTTAAAATTCGATAAGATTTACTTTATCGTTGTTTCTTCATACCCTTAACGACCCAAGTTACATAAAGCATGATATCTTGTATATTTATTCGTATTTTTCAACTCTACTAAATCTTATCGTGCATTTTCTTTTTTTATTTTATAAATGATGCTTGCGTCTAATAGAATATTGCGAACAGCCGCTGTTCATTGAAAATTATATTATATATTCGCGATATTGAAGTCTTCGATAGTGAAGTATATTCTTACGTAAAACTCTTTGTTGCAATAACTTACAATTTAAGTAAATACCTGTTAGGTAATCACATAAATACTGACATGTCAGCATTATTGTTACGTACTAACATGATTTAGTCATCGCAACTATCTTCGTTAGTTGTTCCATATGTCGTAGACTAAACGTCATGGAAGGTATGACAACAGCACCATATGCACCGGTATATGATGAACAGATTGTAAAACGTTTTGAAAATGAATTTTCAAGAATTAAAGGTAAATAATAAACGAATGTTATATGATTTGCTTCTAAAATCATTTCTAACTATCCTTTGTTTTACAGGAGAATGTTACCTGGACCATGCAGGAGCAACTTTGTATTCTGACACTCAAATAAAAAATGTTGCTGCCGATCTTCATCATTCACTTTATGCTAATCCACATTCTATTGGAAGTGCTAGCAATGTGACACAAGATATCATAGAACGTATGAGATATTTGTAAGGGTTTTGATATATTTATAATGCATTATTAAGAGATATATATATAATAAGAATTTTTTTATTGCTACAGGATATTGGATCATTTTCACACATCTTCTGAAGAATACAGTGTTATTTTTACATCAGGTGCAACTGAATCCTTAAAGATAATAGCTGATACATTCTTGTTTCATAAGGATCAGACAACTAATGTATTGTCCTCTCCAGGACACTTTGTATATACACAAGATAATCACACTTCAGTTCTTGGTATGAGAGAAGTTGTTGTTAAAAAAGGAGTTAAAATAACTTGTTTAAGTCATGATAATGCTTTTGAAATTCTTAATTACCCTTTGAAATCTTTGAGTTCTTGTTCACAACAGGACAGCAATTCACTCTTTGTGTATCCTGCACAGTGTAATTTTTCTGGATTAAAATATCCTCTAAGATGGATCAAAGATGTACATAGAGGAGTTCTCTCTAACATAGTTGATGATATATCTACCAAGTGGTATGTTTTACTTGATGCTGCTAGTTTTGTATCAACAAATGACTTGGATCTGTCTACTTTCAAACCAGACTTTGTGTCTCTGTCCTTTTATAAAATGTTTGGATATCCTACTGGAATTGGGGCTCTATTAATAAAGAATTCTAGTACTGATGTACTGCAAAAAGTTTATTATGGTGGTGGTACTGTAGAAATTTCTTTGAGCTCTGAAATGTTCCATGTAAAACGTCAAAATTTGCATCAAAGGTATAAGCTCATAAATTGTCTAAAGAAATTAAGTGTTTTTCTAATCAATTTGTACTTTTTTTTTTACAGATTTGAAGATGGCACTGTATCATTTCTGTCTATAATATCCTTAAGACATGGTTTTGAGATATTATCATCTATTTCAATGGAAAAAATTTCAAAGCATGTTTTTATCCTTGCAAAATTTTTATACAAATCTTTGTTGATGCTTCATCATAGAAATGGACAACCAGTTGTAAAATTGTATTCTGATACTGTTTATGAGGATTATAATTTGCAAGGGGGTATTATTGCATTTAATCTTAGGCGCTCTAGTGGTGAATATGTAGGATACATGGAAGTTTTAAACATGGCAGCTTTATTTAAAATACATCTTAGGACTGGTTGTTTCTGTAATCCTGGTGCATGTCAAAGGCATTTAGGATTATCAAACGAAGAAGTACTGCAGAATTATGATTCTGGATATATTTGTGGAGGTGGTACAGACTTAATAAATGGGAGACCAACCGGAGCTGTGAGAATTTCATTTGGATATATGTCCACAATTAAAGATGCTCAAACTTTATTACGTATGATTGAAGAATGTTTTGTAGATAAACCACGACTGAACAAAATGCCAGTTTGGTGGACAGATTATAAAAAAACCTTAGATAAAAAATATTACCACCATAACGCAAACATGGACGATATAAGCGATAACATAAAAAGTAGTACAAATGGAATTATTGATAAATTACAAAATATAAAAGAATCAGTCAGTCATTTTATTAATGATAATCAGTTTTTAAAATTAATGACACCTACTAATGCAACCAAAAAAGAATGCATTTTGGAGCAATTATACATATATCCAATAAAATCATGTGCAGCTTATAAGATAACAGGTTCTTGGAATTTGAATTCCAAAGGTTTACAATATGATAGAAAATGGATGATTGTTTCATCTTCTGGCACTTGTTTGACACAAAAACAACATATCAACCTGTGCTTATTGAAACCAATTATACTTCAAGAAAAAGGAATTATGCAGTTGAATTATCCAGGTATAAATCTATTTATCGTATATCTATTAGTCAACTTATTTATTTTTAAACATTTTAGGAATTCCTGCAATTGATGTTCCTTTACATAATGACTCAATACAAACTGTAGAAGAAACAATGTGCCAAAGTCGAGTTTGTGGGCACAAAGTAGAAGGTCTTGACTGTGGTTCAGATGTTTCTGAATGGTTAAGTTTAGCATTAGGTTTACCGAATTTGAAACTTATAAGACAAAGTGATTGTGATAGCAACAAAAAAGGTATAGTTGAAGTAATAACTTATGAAAATTATAATTCATGTTTTAATTAGATTTTTCTTTTGCAGGAAACAATAAACCAGAGTTATCATTTTCTAGTCAAGCTCAGTATTTATTAATAAACAAAGCAAGTGTATTATGGCTTAGTGATAAAGTATCTGGTAAAGAAGTTCAGAAAGATACAATCATACACAGATTCAGAGGAAATATAATATTAAGTGATTGTGAACCTTTTGAGGAAACACATTGGAAGCATATGTATATTGGAAAAAATAGTTTTGCAGTATGTACTTAAACAAGTTGAAATAAGAATAAGAACTGTTAAAAAATACAGTCATTTTTTATTAATGCAAAATCTTTTGTACAGGTAACTGGTCCATGTACCAGATGTCAAATGATATGTATTGATCAAACCACTGGTGTAAAAACTATTGAACCATTGCGTACACTTGCAGAACAATTTCATGGAAAATTAAGTTTTGGTATTTATTTAATCAAACAAACTAAAGAAGATGGGATCATCTCTGTTGGAGACATTGTTCATATTTCATAAGTGGGAAGTTGTGTCATTGGATACAAAGTGCAATATCCTGAACGTCATAGGATATAACTTCTTAAGACTACATAGATTTTTACATTATGAATGTACATAATAGAATTAGTATATTATTTTGCAAATTATAGTTTAGATTTAAGAATTGTTTATACTAAGTATTATACGCCAGTGTCGGTTTTAGTCACTCTGACACTCCTCCGCCGTCCTCTCCCAGGGGACGATGGGGGGTCAATGTTAAATAATAATTGTTATTACTAATTAAAAAATAAAGTGTGCTCTACTACTATAAGTCTATACTTTTTATTTATTACATCCCTGCATCCCTTACATCCCTGCATTCCTCACATCCCTGCACCCCTTACATCGCAGCATCCCTCAGATCACCGTATCCCTCACATCCCTGCATCCCACGCATCGCTGCATCCCTCACAGCCTTGTATTGCGTTTCCTGGCGGTAAAAAAAGAATTTTGTACAAATTTGCTGGCCCTCTAGCGGCAAACATGCGAACTAAGTTTTCGATGTCGAATCAGCGCCCTCTGGTTGTGGAAAAAGGAACTATATCATGCAATGATTTTGGCCCTCTGGCGGCAAAAATGTGAACTAAATTTTCGATGTCGAATCAGCGCCCTCTGGTTTTGGAAAAAGGAACTATAGCATGCAGTAATTTTGGCCCTCTAGCGGCAAAAATGTGAACTAAATTTTCGATGTCGAATCAGCGCCCTCTGGTTTTGGAAAAAGGAACTATAGCATGCAGTAATTTTGGCCCTCTAGCGGCAAAAATGTGAACTAAATTTTCGATGTCGAATCAGCGCCCTCTGGTTTCGGAAAAAGGAACTATATCATGCAGTGATTTTGGCCCTCTAGCGGCAAAAATGTGAACTAAATTTTCGATGTCGAATCAGCGCCCTCTGGTTTTGGAAAAAGGAACTAAATCTTGTTCCATTTCTGGCCCTCTGGCGGCAAAAATGTGAACTAAATTTTCGACGTTGAATCAGCGCCATCTGGTGGCAAAAAAAGGATTTACTTAATTACCTTTACTTACCTTTACTTACCTTTACTTACCTTCACTCGAAGCAGTTTTTATAATATGTTATTATATTTATAATATGTTTATTATAAGGGTTGCACAGATACAAGGGATGCAGGGATAGAAGCGGGGCAGGAATATAATAGATGAAGGGATGAAAGGGATACGGAGATGTAAGGGCGGCAGTGATGTGAGGGGTGCAGTGGTATAAGAGATGCAGGGATACACGCGGTACGGAGATACAGTAACTTAGGGGTAGTTCCCGCGCAGCTCATAAATAGAAAGAAGAAATAACTGCGAAGGGATGTATTGATTCGTAAAGGGTGATACGATATTAAATAATTAGCAAGCATGGGTCTTGGCTCATGAAGAAGGATAAAATAATTAATAACTGAAAAGGGTTGGCTTTAGTCTATAAAAAGGGATAAAATAATAAATAAGTGAAAAAATTTGAATAAAAGGGATGGTTGGCCGAGGCCCGGAACAGGGATACAATGATAAATGTTATATACCTTCGATGAGTTTATTTAATAAGCAAGGAAAATAAATAAAATGAATTAAATAAACTCCGAAAAGAAATAAAACAAAACGGACGATTATTATACTTCCACTCATTTTATTCGTTCCTTTACATCCCCCTTTTAGTCGCCTCTTACGACAGGCAGGGGATACCGTGCCCGTATTCTAATCCCCCCGAGCCACAGGGGGAAAAATGATACGGACCTGATATCGTATTGGGGTGTCAGGGACCCCGAAGCATCGCTGACGCTCTCCATATACCGACCTGGTATCATTTCGGGGTTCTAAGGACCCCGAAGTACTGCCGATACTGCATACCGAAGTTATATCATTTTGGGGTTCTAAGGACCCCGAAGCACCGGTGACGCTCTCTGCATACCGACCTGATATCGTCTTGGGGTTCTAAGGACCCCGAAGCACCGGTGACGCTCTCTGCATACCGACCTGATATCGTCTTGGGGTTCTAAGAACCCCGGAGCATCGCCAAATCTGTATACCGAAATAATATCCTCTTGGGGTTCTAAGGACCCCGAAGCATAGGTGACGCTCTCTGCATACCGACCTGGTATCGTCTTGGGGTTCTAAGAACCCCAAAGCATTACCGATTCTGCATACCGAAATTATATCCTTTTGGGGTTCTAAGAACCCCGGAGCATCGCCAAATCTGTACACCGAAATAATATCCTCTTGGGGTTCTAAGGATCCCGAAGCATCGTTGATTCTATATACTGAAATAATATCCTCTTGGGGTTCTAAGAACCCCGAAGCAACGCCCATCCTATATACCGAAGTTATATCCACTTGGGGTTCTAAGGACCCCGAAGCATCGTCGATTCTGCGTACCAAAATTATATCCACTTGGGGTTCTAAGAACCCCGAAGCATGGTCGATTCTGCATATCAAAATTATATTCACTGGGGTTCTGAGGACCCCGAAGCATCATTGATTCTGCATAGTAAAATTATATTCACTTGGGGTTCCGAGGACCCCGAGGCATTTCGAATGCCGCATACCAAAATTATGTCCGCTGGGGTTCTGAGGACCCCGAAGCATCAATGATTCTGCATAGCAAAATTATATTCACTTGGGGTTCCGAGGACCCCGAAGCGTCAATGATTGGGCATAGCAAAATTATATTCACTTGGGGTTCCGAGGACCCCGAAGCGTCAATGATTGGGTATAGCAAAATTATATTCACTTGGGGTTCCGAGGACCCCGAAGCACCAATGATTCAGCATACCAAAATTATATTATCTTGGCGTTCCAAAAACCCCTTAAGAACAACGATTGTACATATCAAAATTACATTGTTTTGGAGTTCTAAGGACCCCGAAGCACAAGTGACTGCATACTGAAATATCATCCTGGGGTGTCAACGACCCCGAAACACCAATACCACTCTGCTTACCGACATTATGGCATCCGGGGTATCGGGGACCCCAACGCACTGGTGACTGCTTACCGATATATCATCCTGGGGTTCCTGGGGCCCCGTGAATTAAAGCCCCTTGCGAGTAAAGGCACATCAAGTTTTCTTGTATCTATGGTCAATGTCTGTAGTGACTTGATATAGGTTGTAGTTTAATGTTTTATTCGATTGTGAGTTTTAAATGGAGCAAGATAATAATACCGTTTCATTTATAAGTACTCCTGGGTTTTGTTCTGATTGCGGTTCAATTTTGCCATTGTTAGGTGAGACAGGAGATGTAAAATGTTATGCTTGTCAACGGACCTGGGGTACTGAAGGTACATATATTTTACCGGTTTTATTTATGCATGACATAAATATTATGTAAAAAATCTTTTTATTTCAGCTTTTGGTGATATGGCTATGAATTGTACTATTCATTTTAACAAAAAGGATGCTTATGATTCTTCAAAACAAAAGGATGATGAGGATGAAGAAGCAGAAGGTCCAATTGTTGAACGAAAATGTCCACAGTGTCAAAATGATAAAATGTCATATGCTACATTGCAATTGCGATCAGCAGATGAAGGACAAACTGTATTTTATACATGTACTAAATGCCAGTATGTGTCTTTTATTAACATTAGATTTTATTTTAATTATATGTTAAAAATTCAAATTTTTATTTTTATTTCAGACTTATTTACAAGCATTTAATATCTTTTTCAGATTTAAAGAGACAGAGAATTCTTAGTATACATGTTTGCTGTACATTGATGTATTAATTTAAAATACTTACTAGAAAAATAACACTTTATATTAATAAAACATAGAGCTTTATTTTTGATACACTCAACAAATATCAGTGAAGGGAGAATAATAATTTCGTAATACCGCTGAATTAACGATGTATTTTCTTCTTAATTACGCGTAGTTGGATATTTTTGTTATTGATGTATTTTTAAATCCTATACTCGATTAAATATTTTGTACAATACATTGGAATAAAAGTTAACAATCACTTTATGAAGTTTCTATTGATCCATCGTCGAAACCATTACAGTGGTCCTTTCATTATAAAATCTTCGTATTTAAAGAGTTTTGTTAGTACACCGCTTACTCTACGAATAAACTTAAGTATAACTATTTAATCGCGATAATATTACATATACGTATATGTACTTGTAATAGTAAGGAGAAATAGATACGCTATCTTATATCAAAGAATTTTCAACAATCAGCCAACCAGCTTAATTATATACACGATCAGAAAAGTCTTAAACTACGATTTATTTTAAAAAGGCTTTGTTATCCTAACATTGATAAAACCAACAGGAGGAGATTTATTTTCATGTTTAAATAACGTTTTTACCGATTACATTAGCTTACGCAAAGTTATCCTTATACAGTTATACTTGTAACTTGTAACATAAAATACCATAGATATTATTTTTAATAGTTTATAATTGTATCACATCTCGTTAATAGAAACATAGGAATTAAGAGGATAAAATCACTGTTAAGCATGTACCACCGCCAAATAATAAAATAAAAATAGTGAAACATAATGAAAGATATCGTTGCGTATTCTCTTTCCCTTCAAAAGAAATATATTTTATAAACACTTCTTGAATATGTATTTAATACTCACTTGCCTCGTATAATTCTTGAAATAAAACAAGAACATGTCCTACTATAATTCGCAATTAAAAGTTCAAAGATAATCGTCGTTACAATATATAATAACATTTGCCCCGTTAACAATATATTTCACATGAAAAACATTTCTTCCGTTGTTAGTCGTAACATCTCTCACCTGTTCATTATTTCTACAGGGCATTTAATAAGATGCTCTATTACGGTGATTTCTTCATCATCGTTAAACTTTATTATTTATAGGATTTATACCGAGTCCATTAGGCCTTCGATGAACGATTGAACTGGTTTCTGTCCGCAAAAAAAGTATCAAAAAAATTCTACAAACCAGCTCTGTAGTTTTTTGTTTAACGAATAAGTGTACTCCATTCAAACAACTGGTGAAATTTTATTGTTTTAATTAATTTTCATTAGAAATACGATTTTCCTTGGACTACTACCCTTAGACCAGTTGAGAAATGGTTATGAAGAAGTTACTTTATAAGCTGGTCATTATGTTTGCGTCGAGTACACCCATTAGTTTCTCTTTCAATTATGTACACTAAAATGTTACATATTGTACATCGAGTATGTACAAGTGACAAGGTATTTACAAGTGGAATATGAGGCAGGTGACACAGAGGATCCTCTAGATTGTCCTTTAGTCTCGATTTTGCGATCATGATGCTTCGTAACATTCATCTAAAAAGTTCTCCAGGGAGTGGTACAAGTGAGCGCGAGATTGAGCGATTCCGTGATCCTCGTCCGTGTAAGTCTGAAACAAAAACAGATTGAAAGTTAGAAAAAATGTTAAAAAATTTAATCAGCTTTGGATCAGATTTGGATTAGTTCAGCTTGAAAGTATATACAAAGCCTCTTTCTCGTCGATTCAGCTGGTCGCTTCAAAATATTCCCAAGTTATCTCCTGGTGGGTTTGAGTCGTTCTCACGAACTCGAAATATCCAGAAATTTCGTTAGTTTTGAGTTAGATTTAGTTAAGCTTCAAATTCGAGTAAGCGTACTATCTTCTGAACGCATGAATTCCCGAAACTGAGATCTCATATTTCAACAGCGCTCTCTCCGCTAACAATAAGTTTTATCTCAACTAGTGCTATTAGGAAGAATTACCGAAATAGATAAGCACCATCGCTTTCTAACTTTCTGAAAGTTCTCTCAATCGTTAACGCGAGCAAAAGTTTATTAATCAAGTCCATCGGTAGGCTTCCAGTTGATAAATCCTCTTACTTACAAACTTATTACACGTGTCCATTGCTCTGTTTCCTTTTAATTCAGCTTCATTATACGTTTAATTTTGTTACGCGTTACTTTACGTAATGAAAAACCGTAGGCAGTTTGTGTGTTTAAAGAAGGAAAAATAAAAACGAATTGGACGGTTACTATTGTAGCGTTGTGGTTCTCTGCAGTTTATTTGAATGGTTGGTTATTTAAATGGAGAGGACTGTACACGCGAAACTCGAACACACAATGCAATTTATTTGGCTCGTACCTTACATGCTTTATTTTTTTCCATGTACTTTGTAGATTTTAATCGTCAACGTTAAACACTGCTGAATGTAGGAAGAGCACGTAGAGTAAGCATGATAATTTTGTAAGCGTTTTTGAAATGATACAAAAAATCTCAATTTATCCTTTAGCCTTCTTTCATCAACGTTTGCTACCTACTTACTTTTACAAATGTATAAATTAAACTTTTATATCAAATGTAAAAGAAGTCAGAGTTTCAGTATAAATTGATTAAACCAGAGATGCGTTTATGAACACTTTGAAATTTTAAAGGGAATTCTCTTTGGTAAATTTTCATAATATTTTATGAATGGTGAATTATACGAATATTTTGTATCTCAACTTGGAAATTTGATTTTATCCAGACACCTCGCTTAGCTCTTCAGGGTGTTAAGGAGAAACTTCTTAACAGGGAAACGTGCTCGCCGACGTATTAGCTTACTTAAGCCTTTATTGTAATACAATATTAATGACGTACCTGTTGCCGAAATAGAATATCCTTTTGCTCGAGAACTTTGGCCAACAACAAAGATTGTTGATAGTGCACGTTGTCATCCAAAGTTCCATGGATCAAGTAGTACATCTTCGTTTTAATATTATCCACTTTGTTGAGTAGCTGGCCTTGCTCGTACCCGTGAAGATTATCCTCCATCGTTGGCAAGCCCATAAAACGCTCCGTGTAAATTGAATCTATAAAGAACGTTCGTTACAAAGTTAATTCCACTGGCGTGACATTGAGCCTGCAAATAAATAAATTTAATTTACGAAAACTTGAAATAGAAAAATGTATGTATGGGACAGGAAAGACATGATAGAAAACCGACGAAGAAAGAAAAGAAAGAAAAAAAAAAGGTAAAAAGGTAAAATGGTGGCGTTAAAAATGTGTATCGACGAGAATGAGAAGAAGGAAGGGGGCATCCGAATGCTCGACTCGGTCGAAACGATTTCAGAACGATGGCTCCTCGTTGAGGAAATAAATCTGATATCTGGAAACGCGATGGTAGCTGACTGCGACAAGATTCCAACAATAATTGAATCGATCGAAGCCGAAACGAACCGTCGCGTCGACAAGACCGGAGTCTAGCTTTTTCTTCCTTTTTTCTCCTCCTTTGGTTCCTTGCTTCGCCTTCGATGCTCGAACGAGCGTGCTGTGCCAATCACCGCGAAAAAACTACAATACCATCGAATCGTTTCCCTTTTTATCCCTTCTGAGATTACAAAAAATCATACTCGAATCTCACGTTCCATTTCACTCGAGTACATTTAATAAGCTTTTGATAGCCGCCGCGAACTACCAAGCATGTTTAATAATTACTTTATCAGGATATCTGGTGTTAATTACATTTCAAGTGTAAATTTATTTAAAATTCAACGAAATTTTCGGAATTGTCGCAATTTATTAGCGAAGTTTGAACTTATCTTAGAATGCAACGGGGTTAACTGGTTTTGTTAGTTGGAAAGTGGGACCTCTTGTATCGCAAAGGGTTGATTAACATAATTTAAAGGGAAAGAAAATTATGTTGATAAATCGTTTCGAGGAGGAAAGTTGGATAACTGAGATGAATATTTAAAGCTCTGCCTTGGATATTTCATATCGAATAATAATAATAATAATCAACGACCCTAGAATCGATATCATTTTAATTAACCGATTACCAGTGAAAGTCGTGATATTGAAACATCTATTATAGAAGAAGGAACTGAAATGCACGTGAAATTGATTGCAAAGTGAAAACGATTAACTCGGTCTCTTATTCGAGTGGCACAATGGTACCGTTAATTATCATCATTTAAACAAAGATAAAGGCGGTTGAGAAATAAGTAAAGAACTTGATCGTTTCGAGTATAGAAGCCGGATATAAAACGAAGTGCATATTTAAAGGTCTGGCTCGGACATTTCAATGAATAAAAGTACCCTAGAATGGTGGAGAGTATGCGGTACGCGTTCAATGGATGAAAATATTATCTCCCTGGTAGACGTACCGTAAAGAGCCCAATCTGTTACAGGTGCCACGGACATGCCGCACTTGAAGACGCCGTGATAATCCATGGCGAGTGTCATGCCTGTCGCGTATCCACCATAACTCCAACCCCATATCGCTGTTCTGGTACGATCGATGAACGGCAGCTTGTCTTGTAAATACCTGCAATCGACGGAAAGATCGGTCATTAATAAAAACCTCGGTAATACTAAATGTGAAACGATTTCAGTTGAACGCCAGGGCTATTCGTATTTCTTCGCAGGCACCTAACTTTTCTTTCCTTGATTTTCCAAGTTTGCCGAGTTTCTTTTGTTAGTTTCCCTGTGAGAAGTTATGGTGACTTTCTATGTTTCTTCGCAGATTGTAAAAGGGCTGGTGGATACTACGTTATTTGTTCGTGGCGGGAATTCAGAGTTATCGTTAGAGTGGTTGCTTCGAAAGAGAATTTTCTTCTTAAATCGTGTAACCCTTTCAACGTTAACTATAGATAATTCTGTACCATCTGTAGAAACAAACAAATCAAATGTCCAACAAAAATTTCATTCGTCTCCGATAGTGGGTCACCTTCGAATCCATCTTCTTCGAGGCTAGCAAGGTAAGAAACTCGGACCTAAATCTATTATGCATCCGAGAGGCAAGCACTTAGAGCGTCTTACATTTATTTTTAGTGGACTGTCTTTTAAAGAACAATTTTTACGAGGTCTCCAAGTAAAGAGGATCGCACGACACTCTGACTTTACGAATTTAAGATCTTCTCTCTGTTACCTGCCGGTAAACCTCTCTTTCCTCTCTTTCACGGTGTGTAACTTAATGGCCATTTAGACGTCTTTCCCACCGCTCATCCTCTCGATATTGCACACCCCTTCAACCTATAAACGTATATATAAATGCTGTTTCTTACGGAAACAAGCCTGTTGCCCTAGATAGAAGCCTTTCTGAATGCTTCTCAGACACCTTTTATGCCATCGTGGAAGTAGCGAAAGCAATATGTGGTTAGTCTCGAAACCTTCGTTATAAAAATTTGATCTAGATGTAGTTTGTCTGTATGAGGTATTCCATAAAAGTGGACCAGGTTATGGTTAAGAGATGGAAAGAAACTTTTATTACCGTATTGGAGTCAATGCAATTTTCTGTCTTTTGCAAAAGATTTAATTTGGTTTTCCAATTGGACGGGAATATGGTTCGATGGAGTATCGAACAAAGTGGACAGTAGGTAGATTCAAATTCTTTTCGCGTTCGAACAGGGTGTCCTGTTACCCGTGGAGGAGTTCCCTTACAAAGTAGGCCCGACACAGGCCAGTCGAGTGAAAAAAAAGTAGGAACATTGGGGAAAATTGACAACGTGCCTTTGGCTAGTTCCCTTCCCAAAGGACCACGACCCGATCGTGTAGCAGGACCTTAAAATCCTCTGCCGCGCCCGGCTCCTCTCCCTCTGCACTGCGTCACTCTCAGCCTCAGCCTCAGCCACAACAGCACCGCTCGATCTGGGTTACCTCGCGAAATCAAACTTCCTCGAATCTTTTGCGAATATTCGGCTGACTTTGACTGTCTGTGGGCGACTCGGAGTTTCCGAAATCCAAGTTTCTCGCTTCCTTCCATAGATCACCGAGCTGATTTTCTCTGTTCGAAGAAAACCAAGAATATTCCTCTGGAAATATGAATTTCTCTGACATCTTGTTAAGAGGATCGTTTCTTTCTTTTTGAAAATAAACATCATCGGCGAAGCAATTATTTTTCAAACAAGTGGGACACAAAAGTTGGAGAAAAATGGGCAATATCGTGGTCGATTCCGGAGTGGAAAAGTTGACGACGCTTGATCGCGTCAACGTGGAAAACTTCTTCAAACACTCCTTTACTCCGTCAGGCTGCATTCGATTTCCTCCACTCGAGACAATACGTGATTTCCGATCGGGAAAGGGTAAAGGAGACCGTCGCCGGTGCTTCTTTCTTCGCAATCTCTCTTTGGCTATTGTCTCTCGTATCTCGTGTGCGTTCAATAATAATGGTTCCAAGGGGAGCGAAGGCGGCGAGCCACACGGTTGCCCATAGAAGCTAGTAGTGCTGCCAGTGGATTCCTTTTTTCGTAAAATTTATTTAGCTCGTAAATCGACCTACCCGCCCGTTGAATTCTATTCCCGCCGCAACAACGCTACCTTTCCCAACGTGACCATCGATTTTCGAATGGAATTTCATTTTTTTCAACGAGATCCATCGCGGATCCTCCTGCTTCCCTCGTATCGCTATTGGGATTACCGTCCCATCGTATCGGACCCTTTTGAATATCGTTTCAAAGTAGCAACGTTTGATTGCCTCGATAATTTTTATGAAGGACGAAAGAATTAAATATCTCGGGGAGAGAAATCCAATCGCGGCAAGTGCTCGAGTCTAATTCGAACACCGCGCGACAAGGGTTAAGTTTCTTTTATTTTTCGTTTCCATTTCTGTTATTTCTTTTTATTTTTAATTAAGGGTTGCTTTGCAAGAAGCGACACAGGCACAATAAATTGGAATCCGAGGCTCTCGAAAATAATCGAGCCGTCGGTTTTTTTTCCGACAAACGCGTCCTCTCCATTTCTCCTCCAGCGTCGCCGCTTGAAATTTTTCACCACCACCTCCACCCTTATCCGCCGTTGGCATTGTGATTCTACGTTTTAACAGGACAACCAATCGTAGTATCACTGGAAATTCGTGAAGGATCAATCTTTCGCAAAATAAAAGAAAAATTCAATTTTCTAACCACACAAATCCTTTCGTCTGTTGTTTATTTTTCAGCTGAGATATTGCGATATCAAAACCAAGTGCCGTAGCGTCGACACAGAGGGTTGAAATCACCCTACGTCATCGTGTGTTTAATTAACTCGGACGTGGTGTTGTAGGTGTTGAAGATACGTTTAGATGAAAGGGAAGATAAGCAAGATAATAGGTGCAACAGGGAATCTATAGCTCTAGTAGCGCATTCAACAGTAACAATAATAAATTTCGATTTCCATTTGCTGTTAACCACGATTGTTCGACCCTGTTAAGCTGTTGATTTATGTTTGTCTTACTTTCAGAATATCTCTTGCGATAGCTCATTTTTCACCCTACCTTTTCTTTTTCCAGCTTCTACTTTTCTTTGTAATGTACACCAATCTTCATTTTTCATTTCTTTTTCCTATTATTTTTTTATAGTTTTCTTTGATCTTTACGTTATAGTCTCTGCCTTTGAAGTTTGCCTTTGGCTTGTTTTTCTAAGCGCCTTACTTCCGTTTTTCATTTGCACCTCTTTTCATTCTATTCTTCGATCATACCGTACTCTCAACTTCCTATAAGTCGCTTTAATCAGGGCTTGTTAATTGAATCTAATACAATAGTTTCAGCTGAAATTTAACTCATTTCCAAAATTATCTTTCGCTTAGCAAAACCCTTTCGCTTTACCATCTACATACCTACACACTTTGATCGATCTTAATTTACCCTGCGGCGATCGAGGCTCACCTAATCCGTAAACGATTAATTTCAGAGCGAAACGGGAGCTGCCATCGCGTTAAATTCATCGTTTCTCGATGACGAAGTAATATTCGCCCCCATTGGTCGAACCCGCCCCTAAACGGTCCCGAGGCGTCCCACCACGAAAAAGAAAAAAAAAGATTCATCTTTCGGTCTCGGGGTCTGGGTTATTCACTGATCAAGCGATCGCGGGTGTGGAACAGCAACATTGCTGGTTCGATGACGGAACAAAGGGCGGTTAAAAAAAAAAAAAAGGACGAGGAAAAAACGAGCGGTCACCGTGCAAACAGAACGGGGTGGAGAAACGAGTAGGGAAGAAAGATAAAGAGCGGGAAACCGCAAGAGGTGTGAGGAAACTATCGATGAGATTCATTTGGTGATTTTTCATTTTCATTTTCCCTTTCCCTTTTCTTCGCAATTTTTACTAGGATTCAAACTCTATGGTGATTCAAGCGACACTTAAACCGAAGGGTATTGATTACTCGGGGCTGTTCGAAAGGGGTAATGAACCGAATTCCAAGTTTGAAACTATCGATGCGGATGACGTATATTTGAATTCGAAATAATGGCACACTATTGTTCCAAAAAGTTCTGTGTACATTTTAGCCAAAAATAATTGAAATTTTACAATTTATTGAAACTTCGACAGGACAATGGTAGAAATAGTTGATTTTAAACCATATTGCCAATAAGTTGATTAATTTCGACCACTGTCCTTTGTCGAGGCACGAAAACCTGCAAAATTTTAATTCTGTTCCATCCACCAGCTCTCCTTCCAGGCAGTTGATACCGCCAGGACATTATTTTTCTCCTCGAAGCAAAAACGGAAGTGAAAAGACAGATCGAGTTTGAATGAAAAAAAAAAAAAAAAAGGAAACAAAAGTAGACGTCGAAATCGTTGGAAGAGGGGGTGGGAGGAAAAGAATGTCGTGTAAAAAGGAACGACACGAGAGTGGAGGGTGCAAAAGGGCGGTAAGAAAAAAATAGGGCAAAGAAGGTAAAAAAGAACAGCTCGGAGAGAAAAACGAGAGGTGGTGGCGGGAGAAGGGGAGGGTGAGAAAGGGTGACGGGGTACGCAGGAGCGACAACACCCCGTGCAATGAGCCAGAGGTTAAAGAGAGCCGGCCAATTCCGCAATCGCTTGGCCAGCTTCCAATTTCACGACTCGCTTTTTACAGGACGGACGCGGGGTGTGCGCCAACAAAACATTGCAACGTGGATACACAGGGGTGGTCAACGAACAGTACGGGTTGAATATCGCTACTAGCACACCATCTTCGTCGGTTTTCATCAGCGATTCTGCGTGAGGATACGCAAACGTGATCGATAACTGGAGAATACGCGACGCTAATCGTCTATGCGTTAAAATTTCTCCTCCTTGACAGCTTACTCTACTGAGAATTACCCTATAACTTCGGTGATAGTCAAAAGAACTTTTAAGCCATTGGATTCGTCGATCAGCAACGAAAGAGACTGATCGAGGAAGCGATTACTCGTCCATCGATGGAACAACCCTTGGGATCCAGTAAGTTTGTTAGACGGATTAGTGGATTACCACTTCGGCCATCGATAAGTCAGTGCTTCGGCATCGATGTTAGCAGGTAGAAAAGATTAAATCGAGTAATTAGATTATCCATAGAGTTGGTAAATTTCAAGAAATTGCGAGTAGCTGCGCGACGGAAAACCGCGTCACGAACATCCTCCTCGACGTTCTACTCTGCTCTTTGTTCTCGGCTGACAGTTGGGATCACGGGAAATAAAGAGAAAGAGGAGAAAAGAAAGAAAAATACAGGACATTTGAATTTCGAGGCTCGAAAATGTGGGAAACGGGAACAGGAGGAAAAACGAGGCTGTCGTTTCTGCGTCGTTAATTTTGCACGCGTCGCGGTTTCGTTTCGCGCGTCGGAAAAGCTTGAAAAGTTTTTCGCCTCTTTTCCCAGGCGATCGTTATCTATCGGAGCGACGACCGGAGATCGTGTACAACGTTGCGTGTTCCATTTTTGGCCAAGCTACATGAACGAATGAACGAGCGACTGCTGTTGGAAAAGTTCTGATTCGATGGATATTCGAGATTACATACAATTATCGAAATTTCATTTTATGCGGAAACTAATATATTCTTCGATTTCCCGAACACGCGTTTACTCCTTTGTATGCTAATAGTTGGGAAACAGTGTGTAACTTCTATTCGAAAATTTACACAAATAGAAAACACGTTGAACGGCCAAGCCCAAAGATCCAAGTTTATACAACGAACGTTTCAACAATAGCGAACGGCCCTTAAGCACCTTAATGGACGGATCCGAAGACCTACATGCAATATTCGAAGAGTTGCAAACTTCTTCAACGTTACTCTCGATCGCTTCTCTAAACGATCCTTTGCAGAATTTGCTCATCCTTGTCCTCGAACTTGTACGCTAAACCATCCAAACTCTCTCCCCTAAATTCTAAGTCCTTTTGCCGCAAACTATCCCTCGTAAATATCCCGGTGGATATTTTTTAAATACTACATTCGAGCCATTATATTCGTACCACGCTCACCGATAAATCAAGCATAGGTGGAAAAGCAAAAAAAAATAAAGAGGAAAATGCGGTTAGAGAACTTGTCATAAATTGACTTATCTCGACGTCGTTTGGCAAAACGTACCCGTGGTAAATATTGAATCGATGTCTGGGTGATATTTGTTGACGTGGTAGCATTAAAAATGCAACGAACAACAGCGGGCAATCCGTGTCTTTTTGCATTTAAAACGGTCTGGAACTCGATAAATTGCATCGGGGACATTTTACATGTAAATAGAGAGCTGGCACAACGAAATTAGTATTGGCCCTGTGATCAAAGTGTTCGAACAACACGACGACGATGGCAGTGTGACATTTAAAAATCATTTGCATTTTTAACCCCGTCGTGCTACCGACATCCGGATTGCAATATTTCGTCGTCGAAGGGGTGAGAGAAAAAAATGGGAGGAGAAAATTGCAGCCAGCTTTGAAGCGTGTTTATGTAAAACGCTAGCTCGTTTAAGATGCAAACACAAGGTTTTTCCCTGGAAAAACAGGAACCTTTGCTGGGGTTGATTCGATCATATTTTCACCCCTCTCGTTATCAGCTTCTCAATTAATTACTATTACCGTGCTGATACAAATAAAGGATTAGATCGAAATGCATACAAACTAATTGAGCTTTTCCTCACGGAAGATTTACATACCTGGTAACGTTGATCTGATCAGCTATCTCGACTGTTCCAAGATTTCGATATCCAGCGAACAGCATACCATTGTCCATTAATCCAGAACCACGACCATCGATGGTCGCATAGATGATACTCTTGTTTGTTACAAGATACGTGCCCCAATCGATGTTGAACTTCTCCGTAACTTGATACGAATCTGGACCACCATATCTAGAAAAAGAGAACCAAATTATTATTATTAATATACTGTCCGAGATATTAATTAAAATTTGGAAATTGGTAATTCACGTCACATCATTACGTATTAATGAGTTTGTTTGCTGTCGCGCGGGTAATTATTAATCGCTAATTACGATATAACATGCTTGTATTTTACAGAAAGTGAGTGGGCAGTGATTGAAGGGAATAACAGGTTTTCAGGTGTGAATGAAACATGCGTTAAATAATTGGTCCTCGAGGTATAAACGTTATAAATTACAGAACGAATGACATGCGTCCATGTGATTCAATTTATTAATTGATGAGCTAACAGGGGAACTGAATAAAAAAGTATATAACTTGTCATAAATTACAATGATATTTCAATAAATTAACGTAACGAAGCGTGATGTTCGATTTAATGAGATTTCATTACACCGATAAACGAAGTTAATTTTATCTTCGAATGTATCGTTTCGATTCATAACGAAATTAATCAAACTAATTCCAGCCAAGCTAATCGAGTTTCTTTATAGCTTTTTTCTTGGTTCACAGAATTGAAGCAGCAATTATTAAACAATTCCATTCGATTAAATTAAGAAAAGTTAACTCGATTTCACAGTTTAATTCAGTTATTCAATCTCGCGTACTGTCTCTATTCACACGCAATCTAATCCCCTCGAAACGAATTCTATCTGTGTAATCAAATTTTCGAAACAAGAATCAACGTGTACCACCATGAAAGTTAGTCGAATTTTACTAAATTTTGCACATTTTCGAATGAATTTCTCGTCAAAATTTCCTATGAAATTTACAGAATTGACAGTGCTAATTAATATATTGAATAATTCATAAAAATTCAGGGGTCGCGTTTACAGGTCGTCGAATGAATTTCACGAGAATATTTCCGTCGTATCGCGAGACACCTTTCGATAGAACGGATGGTCGCAAAAAACTTTTTGATAAATGATACGCTGTGTCTGACACGTGCTACCCTCCCTCAAGTCTTTTCTTCTTTTTTTCCCATTCACCACGAATAATTCGTATCCGCTTTCGAGGGCATTAAAGCGCATTCATAGGGGTGGCAAGCATTTGCATACGAATAAAATAACGAAGGAGGTGAAAGATCGAGGGAAATCAAGCGCAATTTCAACGGGCACGTATGTAATTTCTCGGTAAAACGATCTCGTTTCGTTGAAAAATTATTTCGAAACATTAAACGAACAGTTTGTTAAGAAAATACTCACACGAAAATTAACATCGGATACTTGGTGGCGCCAGACAGATCTGCATTAGGTGGAATCAGTAGTCTAACTCGAGCATTGAACCCACCGGGAACTGGCACTTTGTAACGATGCACAAGCGGTCGCAATTTTTCCTTGATGATTTCCGAAACCGCCTCGTTATTCTCCCATGCCAGAAGCTTCGTAGAATTCTGAAAAAGAATTACGACACTGTAAAATCTATCCACGTTTCTCGTTTTGAGAAATGGAATTTACCGATAACACTTGACTTTTAATTAATCTTTCACGAGAGAATTTTCACCTAAAGGATACGCGTTATCGGGTCCCTTAAATTTGTCGCGAGCGCTTGAAAAACGACGTGATTCTCAATTTCCGTCGTTCCGATTCGTAATCGAAAGCATTACACGAAAGGTAGGGCGATCTTAAGAACGAATGGTCGAAAACTTTCAAGCCATCATGCATCAATGTCGAACACGCAACGGCCACGCTTTCTTGCCTCGCTTTAATGTATTATTCCAAGCGTTTAATCTTTCGTTAGATCCGACAGATTCACTGAATCGTCCTCGCTACCTCTTCCCTCGAGAATGACGGAGAATTTATGAATCGTTATCCAGAGAATCGGACTCTGAAAGATCGATCTTTGAACTCGTTCTGATTGCGAGATTCGTGTTCCATTCAAGTTGGGTAAATATGACTTAACGAGACGATTAAAATTTTTTTTAAAGATGAAATTCTATTAAAAAAATCACGTTTAAAATATTTTTTACTTAACTTGAGGTATGCGATATCATCGCGCAGACTTGGATAGCATTACATTAATAATATCAGTTATTCAAAGAGATTTCTCCAATATTTCAAGAGGTAAACATTACTACTCTCCACTAATTACTTTTCATTAATTCTCCTCGAAAGGAACCGAATAAGGTTCAAAGAAAAATTAACGCTATTGCAGTTAGCTGTTTATATTTCCTGCACTCCCTTCCGTTCTGCTTCATTCAATTTTCCAATCGAATTTTAATTTCACTTTTTAATTTGCTAATTTGCCTCTCGACCGTTTTACCATTCGCTGCAAAAGATTTTGTTCCCCTTCAGCCGTATTTAAACTTTGCTCACGCTTTATTTGAAAATTCAGCGGTAAAATAGAAAAATTGTCGCAACAAAAACCTTTAGGTATAAATGATTAAACAATCGAATGATACGAGTTTTATAATCGTTTGGCAAATCCCAATAATTCCCAACAATTCGTTGAAATCAAATAGGCGAGAATTGAGAACATGATATCGTTATCAGCATGGTGAACGAAATTCAACTGGCTTATCCATTTTATTCCACCTCTATAAGCAGCCGACGACAATGAATTTCTGGTATTCGCGGGACTAAAATAATTCGCAGAATTGTAGACACACTAACGATGCAGGGCTGTTCTTTTACCCTAATCAATGGAATAGTTCGATAGGAATTTATCACGGGCGACTGGAGGAAAAATGATAAAACGTGGCACAATAGTACCTTGAAGTTTTTCACGAGGAGAAGTTCGATTATCCGGGTTGGTAATTACATTATCGTTTGAAGGAAGGCAATGCTGAAGAGGAATCGTAAAGGAAACGAAGCGAAGCGACGCGACGCGACACGACGCGTTTGACTATCGTGACGAGAACGAAATGAGAGGAGAAAAAAAGAAAAACAGAAACTCGACTGTTCGGCTTCTTTATCAGGAGCTGAACGATTACAACTGGTAATCGGCTTTTCTCGCAGACAAGCCCTTTCGAATCCGTCGACGAAGGGATTCATTTCCTTTCCTTTAAGCGGAAAACGATGAATGAGAACCGTCTTGTCGAGGCAGATGCATTTGTAACATCTCAGAATTTTTGATAAGAAATTCGTAAAGATTTATAAGAAGAATAGTAACACGTTATTTATATGTAGGTAATTATTACCATCTGTTTTTCCTCCGATAGAAATGGCAAGAACATTTGGGGAAAGGCAATAATCAAAGGGGAAAATTTCACGATCTCGTTGAATCACGTTTAGCCAATAACGTCCATCACTTACCCTGTTGTAGATGGTGATGTCAGGTACTCCAGGACCGGCACAAGTGAGCACGTAATGCGAATGATCGGTGGAAAACTTGGCCGTGTTGTAGAGACATCGGTTCCCGTCCGTTTCCCGCACAATACCGCAACTCAAACACTCTGGCTTACGGTCGCTGGCTCGCAAGGATATCCGGTACAAATGTTGCACCGCCGAGTCTTGTTCCGACGTGGCCAGATAGTAACTGTAACACACAAAGGCAGAGAAGATGTAGAGAAAAGAAAGCGAAAATTGTAGACAAGGGTTCATTTACATAGGCTACTCTTTAATGGCTTTGTAATCGTGAGAACTGCTCGCGAATTTGCATTGCAACGAGACCCGGTTTTGTTTACTCAGCTAACACGTGTTGAAAGAAGAAACTTCTCGATGCGCTGCTAGTAGATTTTGCGCAAACTAACTTCGCAAACTGGCAGTACGTAGTTCGACACTGGTATCGAGACAACGTTGTCTCGTGAAAGGGAAGCTTGTTTTAATTCCCCCAGTCACTTACTGCCGGCTTAAAATAAACCTGGACACCGTAACCTCGCGTTGAAACTTGATCACTTGGAATTTATTCCAAGGAAAGGAGGAAGAATTCAGCAATTTTTATTTTCCGATTAAAACACGGCAGAGAGTAGCGTCGATATATCTGCAAGGAGAGATCAAACGGTAGAGAACTCCTACAAAGCAGTTTTCCTCGACCAAATCCGTGTCTAATCTAAATCTATGTCGACTTACTCCGTCGCGCACAGCTTACGCCCGCAATTTCTATGCGCATAGATCAGATGCAGCTGGACAAACACGACGGAATTCAGGATTCTGACCAGAAACATGATCGTACCTTTTAATTCGAGCGAGCAATTCTCTTGGAAATGCAGCGACAGGAAGATACATTGTTACTGAGAAGTTTTAAACTGAAATTTAGACGTTCCTCTACAAATTCCAAGTGTCGAATAATTTGTAATAAAAATTAAAAGGTAATAATATGTAGTATGTATAGTACGGTAATAATTTCTGTTTTCATTGCAATAGCGAACGTGTTGAGTTTGGCTCGTGTGTCGAAATAGCAGACAAGTATCGAAGATGCAGATTACTATGCTACCATATACGTTATTTACTACATGGTTGTAAATACGTTCTTGGCAGAGAAGAGAGATGTATATTGCATGCCTTAGTAGGAATCTTGCGACATGCTAGGATACTGGCAATCAACTGGCCTTCTGTCAAACGTTGAGATCCAAAGCTGTTACCGTCTGATTTATAACGCTCCGCTACTACTGCGCGCAGCTCTGGCCTGTAACGCGATCAAGCTACTACCTCCATTTGCATTAATTCGGATCCGATTGCTCGTTGTTAACGAACCAGAGATCGATTCGAATTATCTACTTTTTATAACAAATTCATGCAAAATTCACGTACATTAAATTAATGGCTTCTATGTTAAATATTAATTTCAATATAAAATTCTTATTAATATTTGCGATAAAATGTTTAATTTTATTAACGGAGAATTTCATGCGGTAATTTTATACTGGAATAAAAAGAACGGTGTATAAAATATGAATTTTTAAGATAACATTCCCCATTGTATTATATTACATCATTAAGGGAATTATAATTATAATTAAGGGAAAATGATTTCGTGATTCACTTCGTGGATTGAACACGGCCCTCTGGTTTTGGAAGAGGAACTTACCGGAAATTAGCAAACTCGCTGTTATTGATTGTTTGGACAGCTCTGTGATGTTACAAGTTACATATTTCACAGATGTACGAAATTACTGATTATCGAGTGTCGAATCGCTAAACAGCTAATTGGCAGGTTGACACGGTGACAGATGTTCGACGTCAAATTTTGTGTCTCAAGTTTCCGGTGTCAAATAACAAATGACAAACAGCAGAGCGCCGAACCAAACACGGAATTGCAAGATTTTGAACGTATAGTGATCGATGTGTTGTTACATTCTCCAATTACTAGAATTTCAGGGTACACCATGCAAATGATCAAACGCGAACCGTCAAATTTTCACATAGACAGCTTGAAAATTCAGAGGAAACTATAATTTCTTTCACCCGGCGAAAGCGTTCAAACCGTGTCTTGTCGATTGAATCGACGATCAATCAAAGCGTGATAATTAACAATCCCAGGTTAATACTGAATATTAATATGAGACGAGGGTGCACGATAACGAAGGTATCGCGTTCACTGGCTCGCGTATAAGTTGGTCGACTTTGTTCGTCAACTGTAACAGGTGAAACAGGGTAATTCAATAGCTTACGACGGTTAATGGCTTTAGGGTTTGACAGCCGTAGCCCCAAGATGAGCGTAAACTCTCCACCATCCGGGAAAATCAACGGGGGTGTAACTGGCGGCGGTAAAGGGCGGAGAAATGGATAGAGGGTGCAGTTTCGTTGGCAAGATGGATGAGCCTCGGGTCGTTCAGAACGGATTAATTTCAATATCCTGTTAATTTGACCTCTCGCGTCGACCTTAAATGACGAGCAAGGTCCTTCTCCATGTTTCATGCCTTCGAGGTTGACTCATGGAGGGTGGTTCTTGCACGCGTTTATGGATCAAAAACGATCTGGTTTTAATCGGTGGAAAATAATCGTCCTGTTAATAATCGTTCTTGTTAACAAGAATTTCGCATTGCGTGTTTTCAATTTTAAGATTTCTATATTTTCTAACTTTCAAATGTTGTCAAATCGTTCGATTATTGAAAAAGCATTCAGTCAGATTTATTTATAGAATATACGGAACGTATTGTAGGCGCAGCTTACGAGTTTGATTGGTTCGTATTTTTTCGTCGTCGGCAATGTTCCGAGTATGAAACGGAAATTACAGGGACGGCTTTTTGAAGGCATAGATCATGAAATTCACCGTTATAATCCGAGCACAAACGCTCGTTTTCAACTGGTATACGTGAAAAACGTATAAATTGATGCCGTAAAGTTTAATGGTGTTCGATCATTAAATTATGACGAATTTTCGATGAATTCCAATACTACCGTGAAATCTCGACACCAACGATTCGGCTCTGAATTATTTCCTTGTTCATTATTCCCTTTTACCCTCGGATTTCGCCATCGAATCATTTCTGATACATTAAACTTTTAACCATTCAATCAGTTTACGTCCGAGCTCCTCGTTTCACCAACAGTTTACGTAATTCTGAAAGAGTTATAGGAATACATTCAGCTAAAATGTTTGTAGGAAAACGAAACAGGTAATTGTAGTCAGTAAATAAAAAGATAAATAAATAAAGGGGATAATTAAATAACCGATCAGTTGTTAGGGAAATCGATCGACAAACAGGGCGTCCAATATTCACCTCTCCCAGGGGTATTATGTATTTACAGTATTTTCATAAATTAATCTCGTATTAATTTTTATTCAAAAACATTTCATCCTGATACTGCTTTGCACTTTAAAAGTTTGCATGAATCTGTTTTTTTTTTGAAAATATTTTGCTCGATAACTTTTAATATCTCGAAATGGAGCTCATCAACTTGTTAAAAAGTTTCAGTCAAAGTTGTTATAATTTTTCAGTGAATATTCATCGGTTAAATTTTCCTTTTTATTTTTGAACAGTTAAAATGTTAAATTCTACACTATTTGTTCTCTAAGATTTTCCAAAGCACCGTTCCGTTGTAATCGGTTCATTCAACAGTTCATTACTCTGTTGAACAAACGGAAAGCCGTAAAATGGTTCGAACGGACATCGGGCAGGGTAATTTCAGGGAGATGATCGTCGGCAAGTGTGCACATAAACCTGCTGGCAAAGAGTGCCTCCTAAGTTATGTATCTTCTGAAAGCCGATGAAAGTTCTCGTGGAGCAATTTAAAGTTGCCCCTCGCATGCAGAGCTTAATACCATCGCGTACCGGAAACCAGAGCATCCGTCGTTCGTCGAACAACGCTAACTTTTGTTCTATCCTTGGATGCCCATTGTGAACATTACCCGTTTAGTCACGGCTTGTGTTTTGATAAATATCGCTTACATGTTACACTGCCTATAGCTAACAAAGGATTAACGCAGAATTAATAACTCTGCAGCTTAATAATTCCTTGTCAAGATATGAAAAGGTACATAAGATGTTAATTAATGAGGCTATCTGCGCAGTAGGCTTTATATTATTATCTAGGGGTAACAAAGGAATATTGTAGAAGGATGAAATATTTGGCAGATCGAATTTCTGCACTGGGATTCAAATCTCCATCATCTGTTCAGAAGGTGATTAATTGATTAAGCTATCTGCCTGGTCAACGAATATTCATTCCCTCAGACAAATACTGCTTACGCGTTATTGTCTACAGGTAACAAAGGGTTACCGTAGAGAGATGGAATATTCGGCGAATGAAATTTCTCAACTGGGATTCGAAATTTGATCTATAGGTAACTTTTATAATTATTCATTCTTGATAGAATGTACTTTATTACAGATACGTTGGAATTTTCCTTGTGCACACTGTACCGTTAAAGCACTGTAAGCAGAATTTGTATTCATATGCTCGCTTGCACTGTGCCGAAAGTTGTTTCCTGTTTAACAGTTCATTTGAATACTTCTGAAACCAGGTTTCCACGCGAATGGACGTAACATAATGGTCGAAACGTGCTTGCTACTAGATATTATCCTACTCTACTATCGTTTATCCTTCCATACACGGTATAATAATCATTGAAAAGCATCAAAGATTCGTTAAACAAGAACTTTTCATCGGACACTGGTATATAATCGATACGGCAGAATGTCGTTTGATCAGGTACAAGTAAACGCGTAGATCCTTTAAGTAAGGATTACGCGAGCGAGAAACGGTACCGAGACTCGGATCGTTATCAGAACGATTTGTTTCGCGGCCAGCACCGTGAAAATAATCCTCGTGGCGAGAAAAAGCCTTAAGCCGCGCGTGTTGCTGGCTCGCGTGCGCAAACAAACCCCTGGCTCTTTCAGAAATTACGAGCACTCCGTGACAATTCCCACGCGTTTAACAGGCTAAAACGTGCACTCGCGAGCCACGGCTGCAGGCAGTTTTAAAGCTCACTGCCATTGTTCCGTGAAGTAGGCGAGTAGAATGCTTTTTCTTCACTGCTTTCACGATAATAGCGCGTCGAACGTCTAGCTAACGATTAAAATTCTCCAACGCGTTCGAACCGTTCAATTATCCCACTACTTAGACAAGTATCAATGACTCTCTGATTTGCCA